CTTCAACGGTCAGGATCTTGACTGCATGATCGACTATGCGGTCTGCACATTAATGGACTACGGTTTCAAGCCGGTATGTGATTAAACGCTGCAGATTATTCGTGAAGCTGACCCTCCCTTAGGCCCGAAAAGAAGGAGCAACAGTTGCTCTCTTCACCCTATCAGATCTCAACATGGTGATCACATTCTTTGCTCTTAGCAGACTCGGATATACGGTCATGATGTTATCACCACGCCTATCGGCCACAGCGTGTGTCTCCTTACTAGACACGGTCGGCTGTAACACAATACTCTATGGCCAATCGCCGAATATTCGCGCCACAATGGGTGAAGTCCTTCGTCTAAAGTTAGTTGCGTGTCGCCCAATCATCGAAAGACCTTCTCCAGAGGACCTATCAGAAGACTCTGATGCTGTTGTGATATGTCGGAGTCGTCGTCCCGAACTCCAAGTCGAAAAGATTGCTCTGATCCTGCACTCTTCAGGGTCAACAGGTACCCCCAAGCCTCTCTTCTTAAGTCACAAAGCCTTGATGACGCATCCGATGCGGGGTCCTGGGTTCACTTCTTTCAATTCATTGCCATGGTATCATCTTCACGGGCTATCTACAGCCCTGCAAGCCATGTATATGCGACGAACAGCATACATGTGGGATGCCTCTCTGCCATTGACCGCAAGTACGGCTGTTGCTGCGCTGGAAGCAGCACAACCCGAATCGGTCCAGGGCGTACCATACTTGCTCCAACTCCTTGTCGACAGCCCACGCGGGCTAAAAGCGCTGAGAGCTTGCAAGTCTGTCACATACGGCGGTGCACCATGCCCTGACGAGCTGGGTGATAGACTTGTAGACGAGGGTGTTAGATTCGGTGGTTCATTCGGGCTGTATGTATCCATCAGCATTCTCAGCTAGTTGTGTTGCTAACTCGCTTCTAGAACGGAAGCCGGCCTGGTCGCCGAGTCGATCTCTCGGCCAGCAGGAGATCCCTTCTGGAACTATATGCGCTTCTTCGACAACATCAAGCCATTCATCTGGATGAAACCCATCAGTGACGCGCTCTATGAAGTCGTCTACCTCAAAGGCCACCCTGCATTGACGGCCTCAAATTCCAATGAGCCCCCTGGCTCATACCACTCTCGCGACGTCTTCACTCCCCACCCAACTCTTGCCGACCGATGGAAGTACGTGTCGCGTCTGGATGACCGAATCACGCTTGTCAATGGTGAGAAGGTCCTCCCTCTCCCAATTGAGGGCTGCATCAAGCAGAGCCCTCTTGTTCAGGAAGCAGTTGTTGTCGGTGTCAACAAAGCCGTTCCTGGCTTGCTGGTTTTCCGCACAGAAAACTCCCAGATGTTCTCTGATGAAGAGTATTTGGATCTTCTTTGGCCAACAGTGGAAGATGCCAATTCACGGGCAGAGCAATTTTCTCAAATATCCCGCGACATGATCCTTGTCTTGCCTATTGACTGCGCCTGTCCTCGTACAGACAAGGGATCAATGATCAGAGCCCAGGTATATGCCAAGTATGAAGTAACCATCGAGAACATGTATACGAAACTCGAACAAACAGCCGACGGAACTCTCAAGCTGGACTTGACCGCAACGGAGAACCATTTGATCAAGCTTTGTCACGAAGAGCTTGGATTCCCCATCTCTACTACCAACTCCGACTTTTTCGCCGAGGGCTTAGACAGCCTGAAGGCAATCCATCTCCGTCGCTTAATATTGAGGGACTTCAAAGTAGAGGACCCCAAGGACATCGGCCACAATGTCGCTTTCGAAACTGGAAACATTGTTCGCTTAGCAGAGCATATTCACCTGGTTCAGTCCGGTCAGCGAGATGTGGCTGAGGATGAGGTCTCCATGATGCCAGGACTCATTGAAAAATACTCCGTCTTCCAGAGGCACACACCAAGCCCCAGCTCCGCGGCAACGCAAAAGAGTGTTGTAAGTCTTCCTGACAAGCTGCATCGAGTCGTCGACTAACAAGCGCAGGTCCTCACTGGAGCAACTGGTTCTATCGGCGCTCACACTCTCTACAAGCTTCTGAACGACGACAGTGTGTCTGCCGTGTACTGCCTGACACGGAGATCTCAGCCCAAAAAAGCTGTCATTGACACCCTCGCACAGAAAGGCCTCTCAGTCCTTCCTTACCGACTGCAGAAGATTGTCGCTCTCAACAGCTCTCTTGAAGAGCCTGACCTGGGAGTCGGTGAGAAAATGATGGCGGAGATGCGACAATCCGTGTCTCTCATCATCCACACCGCATGGCCCGTCAACTTCAACCTTCCCCTCATGAGCTTCGAGCCTCACATCAAAGGACTCCAAAATCTCATCAACCTCTCCCTATCCGTGAACCTCCCTGAGCCAGCAGTTCTCCTATTCTGCTCCTCCATCTCAACAGCTCTCGGCGCCTCGTCTGACGTAGACGAGACTCCCATCGAAGATCTTGCTAGCGCTCTTGAGATGGGATACGGACGCTCAAAACTGATCGGGGAGAAGATCGTCAGCAATGCTCGCAGAGCTGGTGCACGCACATACTCCCTTCGGATCGGACAAGTATCCGGCCACTCGAAGAAGGGATTGTGGAACGACTCAGAGGCCATCCCTCTGATGATCCGTTCAGCTCTGACCCTGAAAGCTTTGCCTGATCTCGACATCACATGTTCCTGGCTGCCCGTCGACAAGCTTGCCTGCTCCATGCTTGAACTGGCCCGTGCATGTTCCTTCAACTCCCTCGAGGAGCGCTGGGACAGCACAGCATCCGGCGAGTGGGTCGACGACACCGTCTACAACCTTTGCAACTCGCGTGTCTTCACATGGTCATCTTTGCTCGATACACTTAGACGGAGCGGATTCTCATTCGAGACCGTCCCGTTTGAGGACTGGCTGCAGATGCTTCGCGAAAGTGAAGCTCGAGGAGAGGAGATGGTCAACCCTGCTGTGAAGTTGACGGCTCATTATGAGTCAATGTACAGTGAGGGCGCCCCGAAGCCGGTGAGGTTTCTCACTGAGAAAGCAGAGAAAGACAGTATGACGCTGAGGAATGGTCGGTTGAGGATTGTACAGGATGGTATCCTCGCTCGGTATGCGCAGGACTGGTTGAAGCGATGGAAGTCAGCTTAGAGGGCTCATGAGACTACGGTGATCTCTTCATGTCGATATTTGTCTGTAAATAGTTCACGATCGTCTAGATACCACATTTGGCTTTGGAGTTAGCAGTTTAATTGACCATTTTTTCAATGAAGAACTTCAAGATAGTAAAATGTAATACCTTGTGATTCTTCAGATCAGAGAGACAAGAGACAAGCTGGTAGTATCAGCGATGGAGAAGACGAAGAGTGATGATTGCAAGAAGTGGTGCAGTGGTTGACAACTGGGGAAGTGACGTTTCAGACACCGTTGCTCATTTCGTCACTGTCGTCACATGACGAGATGGTATAACGCAAGTGGATACAACAAATTCTATGGTTTATTGAGTACTCGGCTATTAATCTTCCAACAAAATTATGGATAGTGTATCTTGTTCTATTTGATTAACTATCTAAGCTCGGAATCTCAAAGTATAGCCGAAAGAAGGCGGATATCGAACGCAATCGAAGGGTGGGGACCAGGATGGCAAGTGGAATGCTTCAAGCAAGGCAACCAGCCTATAGTACATAAAAAAAACAGTAGGTTGCAAACAAAGTCTCACCCTACGAGATGTGAAGCAGAATTGAATGTGGGTAATTCACAAAGTACCAAAATCACCCGCTAAGCCAACAGAGCAAAAGCAAGGACACCGACAACGCTGGAGGCACCAAGAGTCAACTTGTTTGCTCCACCAGTGAAGACAGGTGTTGAGGGGGTAGTAGCGGAGGAGCCGGAGCCAGAGTGGCCGGACTTAGATCCGGAAGCAGAGCTGCCCTGGGTAGCAGCGGCATCATTGTTGGCAGCGGCAGCAGAGGTTGGCTTACGGATTGATCCGCTAGAAGAGGGTGCAGTGGCAAATGCATGGCTGGACGAGCTTGGGGCAGGTCTGCCATATGCAGCAGCACTTGAGGGAACGGAGCCATAGGAGTCAGATCCGGCCTGGGACCCCGACGACTGGCTGGAGCTTCCCTCGCTACCACTAGCCACAGCACTTGCCCCGCTGACACTTGAAGCAGCTGCAGCAGCGCTTTGTTCACTGCCATTAGCTTCCGCACTTGCACCACTAACGGAGGCAGGCGTAGCAGAAGAACCGGCATTGGCGACAGCAGATGCAGGGGTGCTCTTATCATCACCGGCTTGTGTGCTTGCGCCGCTCACATTGGACGTGGTTGCAGCGTTCGAAGAGGCGCTGTCGTTACCATTCGCCTCGGCGCTTGCACCAGTGACGCTGGATGGGGTGGCAGAAGTGACAGCTTTAGCCTCGGAAGAAGCAGAGGAGTCCTCGCTGCCATTAGCTTCGGCACTCGCACCGGTGGTGCTGATATCAGATGGTGTTCCAGAAGCAACACTGCTAGCTTCAGAAGTAGATGAGCTCTCGTTACCATTTGCTTCGGCGCTTGCACCAGTAGCAGTCGACGGGGTGCTTTCAGTGGCAGAAGAGCCCTCACTACCATTAGACTCAGCGCTAGCGCCAGTGACGCTATCTGGTGTTGCAGTCGTAGAACTGCCCTCGCTGTTGCTACCCTCGGTAGCCTCGGAGCTTCCGCCAGCCAGAGCGGCCGCGGCAGAGGAGCTCTCAGCAATCGGGCAGATAGTGGTGGTCATAATAACATAGTGGGTGGACGTCGATGCAGAAGAGCCGTTCTCATCAGCGACAGAGCTCTCGGTTGCTGCGGCGGCAGTGGTGGTTTCAGCTATTGTCATGGTTGTAGCAGTCTCGGCATCAGCGGTGGTGGCAACAGTAGTAGCAGCGGCAGTGGTCGCAACAACGGAGTTGGTGACTTCCTTAACAGACGAGACGGTCTCAACCACAGTGGCTGCAGATTCGACGCGGGAAGCAGAAGCAGAGGCGGAGGCTGCGACGCCAGTCTGGTAAATCTTGATGTAGTTAATCTCCCAGTAGGACTCGGCGAAAGCCGCTGGGTTCTCGGCGACATAAGCAACGCAGCTCTTGAAGGAACTGCTGCTATCGCTCACAGGACAGCCGGAGGTGCTGTAGACTCCGCCAGCCCAGTCACCACAGAATGTGGTGTCGAAGATGAACTGCTGGGCTTTGAAGTGTTCGGCGATGCTGCATGAGCCCTGCATGTGCGCCATCGGAGTGCCGAAAGCAGCGACATCGGGGTCGCCTTTGGTGATAGAGGTGGGGATTGAACCACGGGGGAAGAACCAGAACTTGAGGAACTCATCTGTCCACTGCATAGCGTAGACACCGCCACCGTTCTCGTTGAACGGAGTGCCAGAAGACCCTTGAGTACCTTCAACAACGCATCCAGTAGTACCAGAGTCTTCACCACACTCCGTGGAGGAAAGTGTGCCGGTCATCTTCTGGCTGGAAACTTGGCAGGTACCGCTCGTATGCAGGACGATCTCGTTGGCTTCGTTCTTATTGACACCTTCAATGATATCGATCTCACCGTCCGTAGGCCAGTCTTTGCCTGTGGACCAAAAGGCGGGCCAGGTACCGCAGACACTTCCGGGCATGTGCTCGAGGTCGATGATGAACAGACCCTCGTCATAATACTTGTTGCTCCCAATGCGGACCGACTCCCGGCCAGGGCCATTGGTGCTCAGCTTCGTGGTATGGTCGACACCCATGTAGAAGCTACCGTTCGAGTTGACCTTGACCAGCCCCTTGCTCTCGGCGTAGCTTTGATTCGCATAAGTGACGAATCCATTCGTGGGGTCAGCGCCTGTGTAAAAATCGAAAGCCGTCAGGAAATCCTCGCCCTTCCAGGTTTCCACGAGTTGATAACCGCTGGCCGCGGCGGGCAAGATCATCGATGAAAGAGCCAGCGACCCTACGCTCCATAGTAGGGATGAGGTAGGCATTGTCACTGTGTTCAGTCAAGCAATTGCGCGATTAGAGAAGGAAAGTCCCGAGGACTCTGAAGGATTAGAGAAACCAGAGGTTTTAGGAACGGGAATTGATTCGAAAACGATCGACGTTTGGGACGAAAAAGAATGGAAAGTAGCCCTCTAGGCGTACAGAGTGCGAAAAGGAAGGTAGGACAGGAAGTGCAGAAATCAACTGCTAGTCAGGAATAAGAAAATAGAGAACGTATGTAGGGAAAGGATGGGCGAAAGGAGAAATATGTAGAGAATGTACACAACAATGTGGGAGCATGACGCAGACCGGGGGTAGGCCGGGCGATATACAAATAATAACAGCAACACCCCGACATCTAAATTAGCGTGGCGTCTGCGCAAAGGGCTGCAGGCCACTAGCATTATTCTCAAGATCCATAACAAATCAGCTTGAGTGTTCTTGTCGCCTGGGCCATTCACTGGGCGGCTCGTTGCCGCCCATTGGGAGGGCGACGGTTCGTGCCTGGGAGGGGTCGGCAGGTACACGACGAATCAGAGCGAAAAGAAGGTTACAGACAGAATGCGTCTTGATGAGTCCACAGCCTTCATTCTTTGGCCAGGCATGTCGGGTGGATCAGCGACAAAGAGCAACACCATGATGGTGGAGCCTGAAACACGACCAGAGAGCTCGGCGGGATGACATGAAACAGGAGAAGCCCAAAGATTCGACTAGCACATGGGTAGTATTTTTTTTCTTCACGTTGGACAAGCCAGGTCCTAATTTAAACCAGAACTTGATGCATGTCAGTTTTAAAACTCCCTTTCTGAACCATCAGACCCAGCGACCGAGCAAAAGAGAATTGGCGATGTCCATGCCACCATCGCAGCAACCGTCACATTCCCAAGCCATCAAGAGCTGACAGGTCGCGATCGCTGAGCAACCGGACGAGATTGCCGATCCGGGGCACCACTCCGTGGCCTGGGCTGTAAATCGGAGATGGATGCACTCCGTCGTGAAAGGCAAATTATTTTAGGAACATGCCTTCTTTTCCAGTAGAGGATGAGCCGATGTTGTAGGCTAATTGAGTCTAGACACCGGGTGGGGATGGGCTGACCACGCCGTTGTTTCTTGGTTGCCGACATGGCGGAAGTTGGAGGATCACCTAAAGAAGAGACAAGAATATTTGGGGTTGGATAAGCCACATCACGGCGTGCGTAAAGCGATCGTATTACCTGGTCAGATAGAATCAAGAAAGGGCGCTGAAACCCGATAATTCGATCCAGAGAGAGATTGGAGATGGAGGCGCATGAAAGAATGAGAGATGGAATCCTGGATTGAAGAATGCAGGCGTAGTCCAAAGCGGACTAGCGCGGTGAGCCACGGGACCGCGCGCCTCCCCTGTGGCTGGAATGGCAAAGCCCCCCTGGCGACGACTATCTTGAGTAGTAATCCCATCCTCCCAAAGCCGCTATACCCTAGCTGGCTTGGCTGATTCTAAGTTTTCTAGTGTCTACCAATCATGCCGTTCTCTGCGATACATATTCCAGTCGAATGGTTGACCTATGGCTTTCCCCATAACCCGCGATGCTAACTTGGTAGCCATTCCACGGGCCGCTGGTAAACATTGATCTCTGTCCAAATCCAAGCCCTTGACGCAATGTCCGCGCGGTCTATTGTCCACCGCTTAAGCATTCATCAGGAACTGTGTGACGAAGTATAAGCTTACGTATATTTCAAGTTGAGGTTGGCTTTTAAAGACCAAGGTCAGCCTCACAACCCCTTACGTGCATGGCTTTCGTTGTCATTTCGACCGATTCCCGTCGCACAAACTGGACCATCACAGCCATATCTTCGGTTCATTTTCTGAGAGAACCTGATAGAAGGAAATTCCAAGTAGCCACCCAGAGACATACAACTGTTTGTTTCTTTTGTGCAACATTGCTTACATCACGTCAAGCCGTCGGTCCTTGCATCTAAAGCACAACCTGAGCAGTTGGACCTCCAATCCTGCTAGGATTTACTTTGCTAGACGGCGAGTGACAGACATAGCTGTAAAGACCAGTTGCCATAGGCTCAAAAACTCTTCCACGCAATTAGCCGCACGTGCATGCCCTCGATGAAAATTTTCCATGTGCCTTTGGATCCGCATGAGCGTGTCATTTGCCCCGTCGCCTAGCCCCATCTGTCTAGACTCGTCTCCACAACAGTGCGTCCCTCTATAAACTTATGACGGGCTTGTAGTACATGGTCAGAGGAACCTGGTCTCGGAATTTCGTCCTCCGTGTAATATTTATAAATATGGCTGCCTGGTTCGAAATAGGTCTCGGAAACTCATCGCAATACAAGCCTTTGAGACTCTGATCGTAGCGCCTTAGGTCGGCAGAAAAGTAAAATGATCCAGAGCAACACCCGTTGGTACAAAACTTGGATAGTAACATGTAGTGCACCTTGCTAAGTGGTCGCGGTCGGAGAAGGTCGCTTGCAGATTCATCTTTCACTAATTCTGCGAGCAGACACAGACTCATTGTTGCGAATTCACCGTCGGTGTGGCTGAAGGGGTACGGTGTCCTCAAGATTGACATTCCGTCAAGTGTCATTCGCAGACTGGTAGCTCAGGAAAAGTCGATTTCACGAAGACATGAGCACTGGATTTCAAATGGGGTTGGCCCTAGCAGTAATGGATAACAGGCGGATTGTCGATTTCTGAATCACTTCCTGATCATGCGCGGGGATCTAGGCAGGGAACAACTGTATCACCCATTCTCATCACTTGGGTAATAAAGAGCGGAATGGCCATAACGGCCATAATAAAATTCCCGAGAGCACGACAGTGAGCTATAGCAGCTATGCAACCATCCTTTCTGCAAGGGTCAGCAGCATGCTCGCTGATCTGTGATACAGAGATGAATATTTCTCTCCGCCGTTCTTCCTTCTGCTTCAATGGTCTGTCTGGCGAGGCGATCGCTAGATCCCGCGAGAGAGATGTCCGGTGACCCAGAAGCATCCTCCGTGATATGTCAATCAGACTAGCTATGTTCTTTAAAATCATGGCAGTAATGTAAGCCACATTCCCGTAAAGCAGCCATTACCTCATCTCCATACACAAGACTGGAGAGCGCTCTCCACATCACGGCGGCTGAACCCCGGCGTCCACCCAAGACATATTGCATTTGCGGATAGTGCTGCCAATCAGTGAGTATTGAGAATCGAAAAGCAAGGAGCGAAATGGAGCCATACCCTGTATGAAACGTGCCGCATTAATCGCTGTTCCCTTGAGACGATGGCGCGTGGGATCCATAGGAGGATATGTGAGAAGATGTACATCATGTTCCCTCAAGTATCCTTCCAGGTCGCCCATATCAAACCAGTCCCCTTGAAGCTTGGTCTGTATATGTTGTGGAAAGTGCGATACTGATCGCACGGAAACCCACCGTACTCCAGGCCGGAATGGACGATCAGCTGCTTTGCTCTTCAGTGAAGACCGAGAGTAATGGGTTCCTGCGCCACCCAGACTGAAGAAGGGTACCTCGTCCCACTCCGCAAAATATTTTCGACTCTCTTTCTCATTTAGCGCGGCTTGGAAGTATGACGCAATACGTTTCCTCTCCATAATCTGAAGTAGCAGGCAGAAATGCTTCTGTATCCTGTCTATACCGATGGATTCGTCACAAAGGGCAAAACACCCTTGATAGACGCATGACATGTGGAGTCTATCAGTGAACACAGTCAAATCCATTTCAGCGGTCTCCGATGACTCGAAGAAGCGAGGTATTTTCTTGCTCAACGTTATCGGTGATTCTCTAAGCTCCAGATGTAGATTAGGCTCCAAGATGGAGGAAACGCTCTCGTCCAGTTCGACAATCTGTGCCGATTGGCTAAGCTGTTCATGCGGCAGGAAGTCGGGCAGGCCGTCATCGGTTTGAGGTGGCGAAATAGTCGTAACTTCCTGAGGGCTATCATTGCTAGCCTCTCTGGCTAGGGTGAGACATGTCTGTACGGTATCGCGCAGATGTTCCGTCAGACCCGCATGGGATGCCAATACCCCCGACCGAACCAACTCGTCACTGAGCGATAAAACAGATGTGCTCATCTTTTCTACGATTCCTTCGAGTTCGGAGATGCGACCTTTCAAAGACGATAGGTTGGCTTCTTTTCGTGAGCGATATGCGCGTTGCGCAAGTCGGATCTGTCTCCGACGTCTCTGCTCGAGTTGATCAATTTCTTGATAGTAGTGCACAAACCAGCTGAGTCTCGCATACCTCTTCTGGATCTTCATCTGCGGTGTCCTGGGCTACTTTTCGCGGTCGACCTCGTTTAGTAAGCGCCGCAGAGCCAGACTTCTCTACCTCATTGCGAGTGCGTTTCAGAGTCTTTTCTGGCGGCTGAGTCGGCTGGGTGTCGTTATTATAGAGAAGCAATTGATTCTCTGGTATAATTCCACCAAGAAGGGGGAGTTGGACATCTTGCTGTCTCCTTTGTTGTTGCCTGATCTGTTGGGGCACAGGATACGAGCAGGCCGAGAGCAGCGATGTTATCTGCGGGGCGGTCGAGTCACAGTGAGATCCAAAGAACGCATCGTTGACGCTCTCCCAGGGGAGTAAAGCTGTGTCTGAGTCGCTCATATTTGCTTTTGACGATAGACAGATGATAACATTATTTACCGTGCCGGTTTGTTTGTACGGAAGAGCTGATGGAGGTGGTGGAGAGAAAAGCAAAAAGGCAGAAGAGCTGCTGACATATCCTGCCCTGCCGTGTCCAGTCGCCACACGTCACAGCATCCAACCCGTCCAGACCGGGTCGATCGATTCTTTGTTGGGGCGAATAGCATTAAAGTAAAGTTGAACAGCTTAGAAACTTTACCTTTATGCAAGTATATTTTTGACACTTAAGCGGATAATGTGCTTCGGTGTGTGCTGATTGAGCAAAAGGGGAGGCGGGAGAGATACCTCGGCTCGGGATGTTCACTAATCAAAAATTTTGGTCATCCTCATCCGCCCTACAACACCAGAACCAGTGGGAACCAAGATTCCTTCTAAACCTTAATGTGAGTCAATTAGAGTGTTAAGTTGGTGGTCTAAATCGTACTTTTATCTATAACGAATTCCAAGCAGAAGAAAGAGCCCCCTAAATATATCGAGGTGATCTCTCTAGAATAGGAAATTGCTGTAATTTCGATCTCCACTTAGACCAGTCCTACCTATATCAATGTTGGTTCTTCTGTAATACATACTAACATTTAAATACAATAAGCAACAAATTCCAGCTTGAACAGTAGATTCAAGATGATTTTGATGATCATTCTGGCCCCACCGCCCAGACTTCAAGTTGATGTTTATTGATCCACAAGCTATCTCTCTAGTCTGATTTGATAGCACATTGGAAAGACTCTGCCTTAGCTATTATAGAGTTATAGAGTTACATTTAGGGGGCTTTTGATCGCCAACATTCACATCCCAGACATGCTTTCCACAAGTTGCCCGTTTATCAGAGTCGTCTGAGTCTCCATCGATAGTCCCAAGTATTTCGATCTTTCCAGATATAATTGCCCGCTCGCCTCATCAACCTCATCAGGATGAATCATTATAGTCATCTTTTTCCCTCTTTGCGTCTGCCACTTCTTTGCTTCTCCGTAAATTGACTGCGGGACAAGGCATACAGTTCCAAATACCATACCCGCGCATTCACATCCCTGTAATGGATATGGATTCGACACCAGCTCAGTCGAAATGGGAAGCCCTTCTAATTCCGACTCAAGAAATGGCGCTAATTGACCCTGGATACAGGCCTCATGAAGGGCCATTTCATCCCCACCCTGAGCGAAGAAGTTCGTATATGCTTGTCGGAGGTCACTTAGCTCCAGTGGTGTTCGACAGTTGTAGAATCCATAATCCACGGTAACACTACGGTGAGGCTGTGGAGAGGACAAGCGGGTGAACCGTTTCAATTCCCACACACTCTGGTGCCTCGTTCCGACAGCGCTCAAAAGGGTCTCGAGATTCCGCAATTCTGCGATGGCATCGCCGAAGCCGTACTTTCTGAACAGGTCGACCATCTTCGACTCTGCCATGGCCTTCCAGAACTCTTCGAATACACATCTATTGAGGAGCTCCCTGTATAGCTTCGCCACTTGTTTGGTTTCGCCGCCATTCCGAGCTGTGCAGAATCCAAGGGAAATCCAGTTGTCCTCGTCGGTGTCGGGGATGTATCCATTTCGAATCTGGCAAAGGAACACATAGGCTTCGAGCTTTTCCCGTGGCTTCCATAGCTGATATGGAACTTGCTGATCTTCGGGCTTGAGCACATGCTTTTGAGTTTCAAAGACGATATTAAGATCAGTCTCTTTGTTGGCAGCAAAGCCATCCTGCTGACTTATCCAATGGCTCTCATTTTGAATCCAAGTAGATGGTATCTGGGAGCTTCGGAACAGAATGAATTCCTTCAATTTGTCTTGCTGCCATGCGTCTCGAAGCTCTTCTTCTCCCACACCCCAATCTTTTACGAGTCGGCAGTACAACCCGAAAAGTCTATGTCGATCAGCCGCCGATGTAAAGTAAAGAATTCCGAAGGCCCTAGCAACGTCATCATCTTCGGGAAATTCGTGTCTGGCATGCAATGATGAAACGATCCACCTCATCTATTGGTCGTCCAAAACTGCAGTTGAACTTGTGTTTTGGCCAATGAGAATTTTGGCACGTTCTACTGCAGTAAAATGTTGAGCCGCATCTGAAACAGGGACTCAGATTTTCGGTTGCAGTACATCTAGCACAAGCTATCGATGTGCTTTCCGGCGTAGAAAGGACACAAGGAACTGCTGGAGGCGATCCACTTTCTATGTCAGAAGTAGGCGAAATCTCCCGGCTGCTGCGATCGGGTTTACTCGATCTATAGCAGGTATCAATGAAGTTCTGCTTGTGACAAAGACATACATAGAGCTCTTACCTGACAGTTATCTCTCTCGGACTGTGATGTGATAGCCACTCCGACTCTCTCGCTTGGAGTTTAGGGTCCGGTACATGGCGAGCAAACGGCGACCAGGTACGCATGTGTTTTGGTGCAACCGGAGATGAAATAGTCGATTCTTTGACTGCAGCGATATGGTAGTCCCGTTCTAGAGCACATTCACGTTGCATCACATCCCGGAGGTTTCGAGCAGCATTGTCCAGTGTCTCACAGGACTTTAGCGGCATGATAAGCGAGTTCGGCAGTCTCCATTGCGAGTACACCTTTCCATGATTGTTACGCGCTTGAAATTGTGATAAAGTTTGTAGAAAATGACCGCACATGAAACAGGTCTTCTTGCTAATGCCAAGATACTGTGGTGTTCGGGATACGCTGTCAGTACTCATGAGATGTAGCACCATTGTCATTTCTGCATGGACCCATTTCTTTTTCCTAAGGCACTCATTCAATCTCGCTCGGTCTCTTTCGGACGGCAACTGTGGGCACAGTGATAGCGACGGCGTAACACTTTCAGCTTTATACCCAGGCAGGAGCTCTATTTTGACCCGCTGAAAGTTCGAGATCTCGCGCGCTGCTTTATCAAAGGTTTCTGCAGCGACTATAGGGCGACGAATAAAACCCAGCTCTTGCACTATCTTATTTGCTTTCGGCAATGCCTCGATCCTGGAACGAAAGTCAATATTGGCCCAAATCCTCTTAACCCCACCGACAAGGACTTGTGAAGAGATGCGTCGGGAAAGAAATTTCCGTAAAAAGTCGACCAGGCCTGTCTCTCCCTTTACTGATTCTAAGATATTGACGAGTTGTTTGACATGGTAGTCCAAGCGTGGGGTATAATATTCGCTGAGCTGTCTTTCCAGGTCCGGTTTGAAATCCAGATCGAAAGGATCTAAGGCCAAGGTTAACCCAACCAAAATTAAAATAAGGAGCATACACTGCTCAAGCTTACCTCTCGCAGCAAGTTGTTCCAACGTGCCCGCCAAGCTTTCTAAGAGCTTAATGTCCTTGTTTTCCCAAGCAGCATTTCGTGACGCGAGTATAGTAATCTCATCTAGTCCTTCCCGTAGATACGTGCAGGTCACATAATGCGCATCTTTCTTATAGCACAATAACTCGGCCAGCTGATCCAAAAAGCATCTTTTCAGGTTCTTCGTCTTCGCTGAAGCTAATGGAGCGACAACGGCCGACGATCCAAGTTCATGGTTGTGTAGTTGCTCATTGGAGGTTTCTTCGTCGTCAGTCCCTTCTTCGTCCTCTTCCTCTTCTCTTGCAAGGGGAGTACGCTGTTGCTGCTGGACCTGGAGGACGGCTGCTAGCGTTGTTATCTGTGATTCTATCTCGTTTGGGAGATTCCAAACGTCAGTCTTGGTGCCAGCTGTCGGGCGAGGCAGGGGGAGCTTTTTAACGCGCGACATCCTGTTGTGGACGACAAGGCCGGCGTAGAATCTAACGATTCAGACGTGCTTAGAATCTGAATGAGGTAATGGATTAAGATATGGTCGAAATCATGTTTAAGGCACAGATACCAACGGTAGGCGGGGTTGTCGGGCGGGTGAATGCTACAACTGGCAGGGATACTGCATGGAACGCCACAGAAGCATGAACTCCTAGCTGAGTGGTCAGCCTCGACATATCTTCATGTGGTAGCGGGTGCCATGCGTCCTAAACACACAATCCATAGCTCTACATTGATATGCTATTTGTGCTATTTTACTCCTCCTCACACTGTGTCCATGGTCGCACGTTCTCTATTGAAACGACTACGTTAGAAAGGTGTATTGTTGGGCCAGCCATCCTGAATGGGTTGAACCTATCGCTGGTAAATGTTATGTCCAAGCTCTATGCGTTACCCCGTCTATAACCTGCACCACATGAAGGGTTGAATGATAACAGTGCTTTTCTTTCAGATAAAAAAACTCTACTTTTGAATGATTGTCTTGCATTTATGCCGTAGCATACTCTTTCAAGTACGCGGCAAGCTTCTCAATGCCCGACTCGGGAATGGCATTGTAGTTCGACGCACGGATACCTTTACATTTAATCAGTCACAGTCGTCGACGACAGCTTTTTGATGTCACTTACCTCCGACGCTTCTGTGGCCCTTCAGGCCAGTGATGCCACGCTCGACAGCACCCTTCAGGAAGGCCTTTTCGGCATCGTCGACGTTGCCGCCCTAACTAGATTAGCCCCCGCGTCGAGACATCCGCAATGAGGGTTGAGGAACATACCTTGATCACACGGAAGCAGGCGTTCATTCTTGAACGTACCTCCTTAGCGGGGACGACCTTGTATACCTCGGGGTAGGCGTCAAGCGTCTCATAGATGAGCTTGGCCTTTCGGTCAGCCACAGCCTGTTGTCCGTCCACCTTGTCGGGGAATGAGGCAAGCAGCTTCTTCAGAACCTGGCCTGCAATGTAGACACTAAATTCTGTCAGCGGAATTTACCTTATAGGCTTCGTGGATCACTTACTCGAAGATGGGGAGAGTGTTGTACAAGCTGTTGTTCTTAGCGGCAACAGAGTAGTCAAGGATGGTGGGCGCGATCGGCAAGCCGAGCTTGCGCAGGATGGCAGGAGAGCAAGGGGAAGAAACAGGGGGCAAGAGGTCCTTCTTGATGATCACTCCCGTGATTCCAGCAACACCCAAGTTCTTCTGACTGTAAGGGGTCAGTGGGAATTCTATCATGGGAATTGACAAGCCTTACGCTCCAAAGAAGATAATCGAGTAGTTCTGGTAAAATGTTAGCATCGAACCAATTGGTATAGCGGGGCTCTGGTACATACCTGGACGGGGATACGCCTAGACAGGATGGTAGAAGAGAAGTCTCCAACGACGATAGGGTCCTCGTCCGTGCCCTTGGGCTCGAGAACCTCGGGGAAGCTGGGGAATTCAACGCCATCAACAGTCTACGTAAGACGCGTTAGCGAAAATCTCGTGACTGGGAACCTATACACACCTCGTTCTCGCACTTGTAGACCAGGGCAGCCTTGCGGCTCAGCTTCCAGGTCGACTCGTCTGCGATCTTTCCGAACTTGCCGTCGTTGACGGTCCTGGAGTCGCTGACGATGTTGACATACTCAGAGCCAAGAAGGCGAACGGCTTCCTGGCTGGCCTTCAGCGACCATCTGTGGGGCCATTTAGTATATTTTGATCGATTGCTATGGGCTTGGGTGACCATACGATCCAGTGACCAGGTAGTCCAGCTTCAGTTCCGACTCGACCTTCTTGCGCAGCTCGCTAATGACTTCATCCTCACTGATACCGGCCTTCTCCTTGATGATCTGCTGTCTCTGCTTCTCAGCCCAGATCGAGACGAGGTTGTAAACGGTCGCATCGAATTGGCCGGATCCACCACCTTCAATGCATCAGCGACTCGGGATTGCGAAAAGAGATGGGGTCAGCGATGTACCTTGCAGGAAGAGGATCTCGTAGGTGTCGGGGATATCCAGGAAGTTGGCAAGGTCAGCCTTGGCGCCATTCAGGATATTTGTCGCGATTTCGCTGCGATGGCTGTGTTCTGCGACACCACTAGAAGAGCAGGTCAGATACGGTCGCAGATAAGATCGCACAGATCAGTGCCCCTCACAGTCCAGTGTCTTGGTAGTTCTGCAGCGCCTGGGCAGCTGTGGCGAGAACATCGGTGGGGAGACTGGCAGGGCCAGCACCCAGGTAGGTAATGTCTTCTCTCTTCATGATGCTTGATTGCAATCGCTGTTGTATTGTCTTGCTGCAAGCGATAAGAACAGCAGAAGAATTTAAATGACGCGATCGGTGCTTGACTCATTAAGTCCGGGGCTAAGCAAAGCGGCTTCCCCGGGCGTGTCTGGCCCCGGGCCTTCGTTTCCCCGGTGTGCCACAGAATTGCCCCTCGCCGGATAAAGAATGCTGTAGCATCTCAAGCCATCCTCGTGAGGCTTGCCGATGAACGCACGATAGTGCAACTAGTAAGGGGTGTATGACAGGGTTGAATATGCGCAGGTGTGACTCAATCCCGTAGCCCAAAAACATGCTGGTGTATGAGCGGAAAACAAAAAAAGGAATTCTCCCCGACTGGGAGTCGAACCCAGGTCTCCCGCGCTTGTTCCCGACTGGGATTGACAAGCGGAAATCATGACCGTTAGACCATCGAGGATTGTTGAAGAAAGCTTGCATATTTTGGCTATATAATCCTATAGAAGATAAGTTGAATGAGAGTACCCTTGAGGATGCTTTTCGCCAGAACAATTGAAGAGCCATTGCAGCTCAACACGAAAACTGTGTAGAACCTCATTCAAGAAGCTGGGATGGATTTCAACTTTTGGAATTTTTAATGCCAAGATACATACAACTACATTACATTATGACCCTGTGCGTTCCATCAAATCCGCTTACGGAGTTCCTGAATCCAACACATCCCTCTCCTGCTTCATCCCTCTTTTAGCAAATATTGGGCCACGCTTGTTTTTGATTGCGATTCAATAACTAATAGGATGTTCGGCACTGTGCGCTGGTGTGGCCTTTTCTTTCTTTTTTGGCTTCCATTTTGGTTATTCAATTGTTGATTCGCCGGTTATATATATCTCGATGAAATGATGCTTCGCGCGAGGATTGAAGTTCATGCCATCGTATCGTCAGATACTACTACTTATTATTTTTGTGATAGCACCTGAAATCCAATTGCACATGTCACACGGAAAGAAAGATGGTGTCGCCTGCAAGGCGCCAGCAGCATAAGACATCGTGACACCCCCATTCGCCACTTCAACACTGACGAACCTATCGTCAGTCCCAACACTATCTTTAGGTCGCACAGAATACTATGGGCTTTCTGGAGAACCTGCAAGTAGAAACAACGGAAAATACCACTATTTCGGCGAACCGAGCACTGCCGGCTGTACTACCTGCATGTTAATCGGTATCAGTGTCAAGCGTCAACAGCATCATCCATGGATGTGGAAAAGCAGGACCCACCAACTTATCATGTGGGGTCAGCAACCAGCAGGGTCCGATTCTACCACACCCCCATCTAACCAACGCGCATTGGGCGCCCAACACACATCTTTCCCACCAAAACACCTCGGAATATACAAATAAGTATACTAAGATGAGCACGATTGCTGTGGCCGGTGGTACCGGCGGCATAGGAAAGACTATTGTCGAGGCATTGCTGCAGGAGCGCAAGTATCGAGTCGTTGTCTTGACCCAAAATGTATGACCTCTATAAGACGATGCCTCGCGCGCACTAACTGATCGAACAAAGAATCCCAAAGAGGATCCCGTTCTCAGACAGACGCAGCAAATCCAAATAAACTATAATGATATTGATTCTATCGTCGAAACGCTGGAGAAGCATGCGGTGCACACAATCATCTCCGCCATCGGAATCTACACCGAGGAAGCCGCCCAATCTCAGATGAACCTTGTCCAGGCTGCCGAGAAATCCAGTGATACCAAGAGATTTGTGCCCAGCGAATATTCATTTATCCAAACTGAGGAGTATGTCGATTCTGCCTGGCACCAATGGCAACTTTGCTAATGAAACAGTCTCCTACCTCACGATCCCAGCATTAAGTACTGGCTTGATGCAGCTGAATTGCTGAAGAAAACCAAGTTGCAATATACTCGGGTGTGCCCTGGTGTCCTCATGGACTACTGGGGAATGCCTCGAGTGCGTACTAACATTCATCAACACGTTCTCGGGATCGATGTAGCCAACTGCTGGGCCGGTATTCCTGGCGACGGCAACGACAAAATGAGCGTGACATATTCATACGACCTAGCAGCATATATCGTGAAGCTACTAGATCTCGAGGAGTGGCCTGAATTTAGCATTTTTGCAGGAGACGACATTACTTTCAATGAGCTCCTCAAGCTTGCCGAGGAGGCTCGAGGTATGTGATTCGGACACCTACGAAGAGATTTGACTAATATAACCAGGCAAAAAATTTGATGTTGTTTATGACTGTGCTGAAAACATCAAAGCAGGACAGGTCACCGTGCCGCCGTTTCTTACTGGGGTTTCCGAGGAGGAGGCCCGGGAAATGACCGTTCTGGTGAGCCGACTCACTATTGCTGGTGCTTTCAATCTACCGAAGGAGCGTATGAATGCACTGTTTCCCGATATTAAGCCCGTGAAGATGAGGGAATTTCTTCTTAATACATGGAAGGATGAAGCATAAGACTGGTTAACGTTGAACAATATTGAGTGAGTTAAATATCTAGTATTTTCTCTACGAAAACCTCGTAATTGCAAAATGTGGTATATAAACATTATCTGCCCAGTGATTGCTTCCCATCCATCTTATATCGAAACAATCCTCTTAGAATGTACACAACAGTATCAACACAGAAACCTAGTCAGAGGTCTCATCATCATCTCCGTCCATAGCTCCCTTAAAGGGGTTATCGAATACTAATACATGATCATCATCTGCAGAAACTGTTAGCCTATCCACCAGATACCACGTGTACGGGAGGCACAGCATACGGTCAATTGCATCCGTATCACTTTCCGCATCAGTGATATGTCCAACTGCATTAACGATATGTGATGTCACATTATTGAGGTGTAGCATATCAATCAGGGATTCCTTTTGCTCGTGGGGTGGCTGGCTGAATGCCGGTGTAGGAACCTGAGTCTCGTGTTCGGACATTGTGCAATATGTTCTAGTACTATGGTAGTGCCTAATGCCGAGGTAAGGAAGTCGTTGAACAGGATAGAACAACAACAGTGGCTGACTACAACCAAGTCTGCAGACCGTCAAGATTTATACCTGTGACATCTGTGACTGGTTGCCACCAACTATGGCAGTCCGATCTGACATCAGCGAAAGCTAAAGCCTGTTCATCCCAATAGAACTGGACATTGTACAGTAGACAAACCCAAAGGGGATAATTTATCAAGATCTTCATGAACTATCTCTTGACATATTCGGCAAGAGGGTAGGTCTTTCTGTAGCGTACATTTTATTCGTCCAATATATGGAGAAGAAGAAGAAGAAACATTATCCAGCACCAAAGTCCAACCCGGGGTAATAGCTAATCTGGAGCCACCCAAAATATCATCCTGGGCTTTTAACATAACCCATAAAAACATCAAACATCAATCATCAGAGGTCATCTTAATCAAAATCCTCCACATCCCATGTTGAATCCGGCGGTCCATCTGTGACACCGATTAGCCATCTTTTGTTTGGCCCCCCATCCTTACAACCGAGAGATATCGTACAACCATCTTGAATAGAAAGCAAATACCCAATAGTCTCAATCAGACTCGGCGAGTCCTCCACAGGAGGGACCTCCTCGATGAGATCCTCCAGACTGGGAGAACTGTGATTTTGACCCCCAAGCTCAGGTTCAGGCTTTCTGACTTCTTCAACCGCGATGCCCATAGTATTCTTCTCAGAAGTGGTGGACATGGCGATGGATGTGCCTCCTTATGGAGACTATCGATCGATCGATAGATAGGTAGATAGTAGGCAAAGCCTCAATAGTGGAGTGTAATTTCTCGACAGAATACCGTGTAGCGCATGTACCAAGTAGCTACATCTTCCTTCCCTCCACAACACAGCAAAATTCGCCATCACAGGCAACTTAAATAGCGTGCAAGCAACCTCCAAACCATCAAGTCTTGACATCAAGCGATAATCCAAAACCTAGGCTCATTTCGCGGGGTAGACTGGTAACTTTAGATATTCACGACAAAAGAGGTGAAGTCATGGGATCACCAGTGAACCTTCAAGTGGCTACAGGGGAGCGTGCTCGATTTTGTGTCTGTCATCGGGCCTCGATTGGAAGTCTGTTGGTTGATTCGACATGGTTGTCCTTGGTTGATAGTACAGGGATTCATGGGGCGGGTGGCCTGATAAGGTACGGCCAAACCTAATTTTAGACCATGGCAGATGTATTCTGGGGGCGTTCTGATAACCTGGTACCGATGCCAGGGGAGGAATATGGGCTTCTTCTGAGATTGGGAGGAGCCGGTGATTCATTGAAATCGATCGATAGCTGAAGGAGAAATAGCTACTGTATCTTCGGATGGGCCCGAAGTGTTGTGTGTTGTTTTACCCACATGACCCAAGCTGGATGGACTAATGGGCTAGCCTGGCCAAGCATGCGATCCAGAGCATGTATACTGATGAAAGTCCACCCCAAGCGACCGATCGAAGGTGCGACTAACACACACACTGTGTAAAAATAATTGCGAAGAGAAAGCAGATGATAGATAATCAAAGCAAAAAAGAAATGATTCAAGGCCCGAGCCGCGGATCGAACGCGGGACCTCTCGCAGATATGCTTGGGTTTGTATCCCTAAGCGAGAATCATACCACTAGACCACCCGGGCTTGATATATTATTTTGCATTATTTAATGGTATAGTTGGAAGCAAAAAGGCATTCTTAGCAATCCAGTTAAGAGTCTTGATCATCTAGAGATACTTAGGACACATGAGCGAACTAGACCTCTCCTGGCATACCTCGACCCATTGCACCAACCGCCTGTGACAATAAGCAGCATAAGTGCTATTTGAATAGCGTGAGTAGTTTAGCAAACCAGCGTCTCCTCCCATAACATAGTCGTCCAGTTGAGAGGTGTATCTTCAACACCGAACCAATCAGTTCCAGCTACAAAACTGAATGTCCGCCGTTGTACTGTACATGAAAAGTCGGGTGTATGTTGTTCTATCTTTTCCAAGCAACACCTCATTCTTACGCTTCGACCCATGTTATCATGACGTCGTGACATGCTTATAGTGTAATGACTGGCATCTCTAATTGAAAAATCCAATCTTTCCATCACAACCAACAACCCCACAATGACTGAACATCAGACAGAACCAAAATATCGCTGCATCGGAGCAGGCTTTTGCGGCACAGTTTGGGCCCAAGGGAATGGCCCAGCCATCAAGCGCGAGAACGGTGGACCAGAAAGATCCCTGCCAAATGACTATGTCATGCACCAGAGAGCTCTAGACAGCATTGAAAGACTAAACGAAATCAAAGCTGGAAGAGACAGTGGCTCTCTGGCGAACAGATACCAAGTCCATATTCCAAAATGCCACCGATTCTTGACAGCGAACGATCCGTGGTGGAACGATAATATCCGCATGTTCCCGAACAACTATGAACCCTGCAACGCCATAATCTCAGATCACATCCCCCCCTTTCCGGAAGAAGTCAGAAAGCTTCTGGTGAAGAGATATTGCCACCCAAAGCTTCAAGAGGAGATTTTAGGAAGCGTGGCCAACAAAGACTGCCTCATAAGGCCGTATCTAGGCCGAAGGCGAACACAGAGAACTGAGGTAAAACGGACACCCAGATTCAGCGCGTTCTCGTTACGAAACTACCCTCTACATGAGGATCAAATGGAAGATCTCGGTGTTCCCCTGCACGATATGCAGACCTACGCGAGTATGATGGGAGAGGCTCTAGCTACCCTTCATTGGCTTGGTGAAATCGACGGGAATGATATCGAGTTTGTACTGGCTCCTTCACCTGGACAAGGCAATATCAAAAACGTTTTAGGGGAGCACTCACTATGGATGCTGGATTTTGACTTATGCCGCTCTATGTCAATGGATATCGATGGTGTCCGGCAAGCCGTCAGTGCTTACTGGCGGAATGATCCATTTTATCCTCGGCCCATGGCCAATATGTGGAAGGATTTTCGAAGTCAATACTTGGAATCTAGTGAGCAGATAATACGTGCATGTTGTATTATAGGCCCTGAAGAACGATTGTGTCTGGCTCGAAAGTTTATTGACTTAGTGGAGGAGGAAAAATGAAGAATCAGGTGTCGAGGCACTGATATAGTGAATTCAATCAATCTCAGCATTCACTGTTTCTTTTGTATCTCTCTCGAAAAAACTACACTGACATCTAACACGTTGGACTTTCGTGTTTTTCTTACAATCTTCCCAACTGAGCGATCTCTTCATCTCTCGTGACCATCATAGTTCATTCTCATACCTGTCTCGTTCTTAGAGTGTTATCATCGGATTAGTTCAGCGTCTTATATAACATCCTTCAACATGTCTGACCGTCGGGAACTCCAGGGTACTGACAGTTCGTGGACAAGTTCTTTTGCCGATGCTTTACAACAGAATCTCCAGCTTGAAGACAAGCTTCTGAGGGAAGAGAATGAGACGCCACAAGAAAAACTACAACGGCTCCTCTCCACTAGGTCTGTTATATCTACCTCCTCCTCTTTTGCAGAGCGTCAGCAAGCTGCCGTCGGTTTGAAAAGTCCGTTTCGGGAGATTGGAACCGGCTCGATCGGTAAAATATTCGAGCAGCCAGGAACACCTTGGGCGTTCAAGGTCCTCATTGTCGACCGTACGGATAAACTCTGGAATAACTATGCTATACATCTCAAAGTCCAGCAAAGTTTTGATAGATTGGGAAATATACCGGGGCCTGTCGAAGTACCTCGAGTATCATGGTTTGCTAGCAAAGATTCAGAGTTCTGAACGGAAAACCTACACCTCTTCCCGAATGAGCCCACATTCACAAGACGACCCCGGGAAATTCTCTGTATGGAACGAATCATGCCTCTGCCCCAGCCAGTGAGGCATGCCCTCATCGACATTTTCTGCAATCCGAACAATGCCCAAGTGGCGAAAAGTGATCCCCTGAATAAGGACTGTCTTATCCGTCTACTTTTAGGTCGGAAGCGGTTCGGGTCCTCACGACCAGGCCGTAGTATGTCTTTTTCTCTGCGCAATTACAAATTACATGTCGACCAGATCCAAGATATCAAGCTTGATGCGGATGAGTACGCCAGGGGTATGGCTGATGCTCTAGCAGTCCTCCATTGGCATGCGAAAATTGATGCTATGGATGTGGAGTTTGTCCTCGGAAGTTCACCAATCGATCAGAACGCTGTCCGGAGAGAGATGCATTTCCCAGATATTCAACGTCTGTGTCCAGGTACTAGCACCTTTGAACAAACCACTAACACATCGCCCAACTTCAAGAAACGTATGGTTAGCCTGTGGCTTCTAGACTTCGATGCCTGCACTTCAATTACAATGAACACGGCGGGTGTTCAGCAAGCTGCCAAGGCATTCATGGAAAATGATCCTTACTATCCACGACCATACTCTAATGATGACTACATGGAACATCTATGGCAGATATTCTCCCACAGTTATGTTGCGACGGCCAAAAAAATCACCGCCAGAACAACGTGGCAATCATTACCTGGGCAGTTTATCCAAGAGATACAATCAAGATTTTTGCAACGAGCTGAATCTACTCGGTCCGGGGACAATCGACCAACCGCCACATCGAACATGTCGCTTGGGAGAGGAGAGTCGTCGCAACATAGGGGAAGGCCAATCAGCGGGCAATCTAGGCGTGCGCGTGGGGAGCAAAGAGGGACCAGAGGCGGTAGAGTCACACCTTCCAACTCACGAACCAGGGGATCTAAAGATCAGAGATCAAACCCAGACGAGCATAGCACTTCACCGCGTTCCCGCAAAGATCGGGGCCGAGGACGTCGCTAAAATATGTCGTTGGCTGATGTGTATAGCTGATGATGTGGCTTTCTTTTCCTATTTACCTCGTATTCAATATTCTTTTCGGGCCGGAAGACTAGGTTGAAACCGGACTAGCCAGCTGCAAGGGAAGTAGATCAGCCCGGCTGTCCCTGCGGATGTCAGACGGTCAGTCGCTTGCTCGGAGGAGGTACCTGGATGACACAAAATTCAATTAATCACCGACCATGTCAGGCGACGAATCGCGAGGGTTTTCTCTGCTTATCTTCCGACACTTACGTGGACATTGAATATCAACTTGGCTCGGACTCCGATCGTGTTTCCATAGAGCGCAGGCTAATCTATCGAAGCAAGCACTATGCCAGGATTCTTCCCCTATAGCCGAGACTTATTATGGCGCCACGACCAGGATGTCTTCACGGCTGAGTGGGAACTGCACATATCAGAGCGACGAACCGTGGCACCACTCAGGTGACGTAATGTCGATCCATACAATTTGGGCGATAGAGACCCGGTGACAGGGGTCACTCCAAGTCTGGGCCTCCGTGTCCTGGAGGACCGTGTGTTGGCATTCCGATGGCGCGGGGTTTTTCTTATAACGGTGCTCGGATCCTTTCTCCCTTCGTGTTATTATCCTTCTTTTTTTGTTAGACGCGGATTCTTCTTCAGAAGTTAGAAACCCGCTTCCGCGTTCTTCTTGCCCTACCATTTCAACCTATGGAAAGATTTCGTCGTTAGCAGGTCGCGCGGGTACGCTTCTCTTGCAGTACCAGAGCGATCTCCCTCCGCTTGCAGAGAACTCTGTTAGTCGACAAAAATGGTTCAAGTACAGCGACAGTGACTATAAACGTCTATTTTCTCTGCGCCAGAAAGGGCAGTCTCAGGTATGCGCTTTCAACTGGCATCGTCATGAAGTTGCGGAGGCTAATGATTTAAGATCTGACCAGCACCCCGCCCGACCACTCGCCAGTCGATTAGCGGTACGAAGATACTACACAACTAGACACGATGTCGAACACAATGGCACAGCCGGCTGAAAGTTCGGTGAGCTACGATCTCACCAGGAAAAGCCACATGGGGGGAGACTGCATTTTGAAGCGCTTTGCGCAATGGTTCTGGTCGGTGTGGATGATCGCCGGGTCTGGGACCCACGATGCCCTTGCGGATCCCGCGAATCACCCCAAAGCGACAAACGGTGCCTCCACAAAGACGAATGGATGTGCTGGCACAGCGAGAGGTGGTCTGTCTACCACTGGAGAATGCGACACAGGACTGCGGGAACAGTCCTCTGGAAACGAGCATAGTTATCCTTGCAAGGCATGCCAGACATGGGGTGTTGTTTGCGATCAGCAGAGACCGCGCTGCTCACATTGCTTGGATCAGCAGATACTGTGCTTCTATGTGGCACCTCTGCCAAAACCACCGAAGCGGTCAACCAAGTCGCGTTCCCGCCACGTTGAGATCGTAAATTCCTCGCCCCGGCTGTTGGCGAGTTGACTTTTGATGAATCACAAGTGAATGAAGTTACTTTGGTCTTTTTACACAGCTCTTCTCTTATCATCACGATAGTTTATTCCCGGTCGATAAGATAGGCACGTGCCTTAGATAGCTCTATCGTCCAGTCACCCCACATGCGGGGGAAGACTAGCAGAAGGTTGCTCAAGGGAGTGACACTTGGACTCCAGATGACTGATCACAAACCGTACATTTCCGTATGCGGGATTCGGACGGAGAGTAGCATATTCAGGGCATGCACGATTTGCCACTGTTCCTTCACGGCGGATATCCAACGCGGACCAAAACACTGCGTCCACATCAGACAAAAGAAATGTGCAAGTATATGATTGTACTAATCGAATTTAAACTAGTGACTCCCCGCAATAACTGATTTGACTTACCTCGGATACTTGATTTCAACATGCGCCATCGCTAGCAGTCGTCGGAGCACTGTCAGCCGATTCCCCCGCCACAAGGTACCGTGGTACATATTTAGAGATGTAGTCTCTACAAGAGCAGTCTGCACTTTTGTTTGACTTCTATTTACAAACTGGGTGCACGAGGGCGGTTTAAGGTTAGTTGCCGTTACCGTTCGCTTCACCATCGAGCTGGCTGATACAGAAACAGATGGAAGCAGAATACATTCGGATTGCAGATGCAATCCAGCAAGAAGCTCGCAAGAATGACAAGAAGCGACTTCTCGTTGCTATAGCTGGAATACCAGGCTCTGGCAAGACCACCACAGCTTCAGCTGTCGCTCAACAACTCCGAAAGGCCGAGTCACAACCAAGCAGAATAGCCCTCATTTCCATGGACGGCTTCCACTTGTCGCGGGCGGCATTGGATGTTCTTCCTAACCGTGAAGAGGCATACATCCGGCGTGGTGCACCGTGGACCTTTGACGCGGTGCGTTTCGTTACGTTTGTTCAACAACTACGACAATGGGCAGATTCTACTCCGTTTCCCTCAGACGGAGACTCATCATCTGACGCTGCTGTGATATATGCACCGTCATTTGATCACGAGGCCAAAGACCCCGTTGAGAACGGCATGGCTATCACAAGCGATGCCTCGATTATTATCATCGAAGGCAATTATCTCCTGTTAAACGAAGAACACTGGCGTGATGTGTCACATTTGGTTGACTATCGCATATTTGTCGATGCAGACTTGCAAGAAGCCAGGGGAAGAGTTGCCAGACGACATGTCAGTGCGGGGATTGAGAAGACGCTGGAAGATGGCTTCCGTCGTGTGGACAGTAATGACTACTTGAATGCGCTGCATATCCAGGGAAAACTGATACGGCCTGATATGGTGGTTAAGAGTGTGACAGAAATCGCATAAGATATCATCTAGTGTACATATCTAGGGTACAAGTTGCTCATAATACGACAGCTTCATACAAAGGAAGCTATATTCGGGGAAATACCGGAGCAAACCCATCACTCCTTTATCTTGCTTTTGTGGAAAACATCTATGCGCCGAATTAGTTATCACCCACCAAGAGAACTAGACAGACAGACTACTAGTAGTTACTCACCCGGAATCTCAGGCATCCAACGAACCCTACTCTGACAGAAGAACTCCCCTTTGGGTGGCAACACCTCCGGATCATCCAAGGTCCCTACACAAATATACCGGAAATCATTCTTGACCGCATCCTGCACACTTCTATTAGCAAACCACTTGCTGCACCACCCGCCAACCCCCACAAAGAGACAGAACCTACCCCATACTCGCAAATATAACTCCCACAATCCCCACAAAACTCGCGATGGATCATACTCCCAGACCCATTATCGCCCACATACTCCTTAAGCGTGCCAGATGTGATCTGAAGAGCATCCTTGGGGACCTTGGCGGTTAGACCGTAGTTTGTTCCGAAAGCTTTCTATATTCCGGGGTAATTATTAGTCGATCGAACACCTTGTAGACAAGATTAAGGTGTAGATTGCAGATCAAAACCCTGGATCTATCTGGCTTACCTTGCAGCTGCGACAATGGCAGAGGGACGTGCGGGCGTCGTCTGGTGATGAGAGGTTAAGTTTATAGGTGATTTTATGACAGAAGCAGGAACCGGGATAGGATTGCATTTTGGTTAGGTGGTGATGGGATTGATGGTCGAAAGAAACACTGTTTGGTGGGTTTTGTGCAGTAATTGAGTAAATGTTGTTATTGTTGAGGATGTTATAACTGAGAATTCTGGGCTTGTTGTATAGAGCGATGCGCCTGACGAATGTTGACGTCACTGCTGTACTACAACCCCGGCGAGAAAAGATACTCGTGATCGGCGCGGACATGTTATTTTATCAAAGATACGAAATAATAATGGATAAATTATAAGAGCAGGTTGCTGACCATGGCGCAAGCTATATCAGCCCTCGATATCCGTCGTAAGACTGATTGTCTGCAGCGATAGCGTGATGTGACCATGACCGAATGAATCCCCTCATTTCTATTCGGCAGCTACCCGATCAGCTGACACTCTCCAATCATCTGTGCCATCTTTTATATTCCCCGACTGTCGCCTCTTCTATCCATTCTTTCTTTCTGACAAGAAACGGCGATCGCCTCGCGCGTATGCTGATTAGCCGAAAGGCTTATTTTTTTTGCTCCTCTTTTTACATGCCGCATCGTACATAGCTTCACCGGGTGTAATTTTATCCACCGCATTCACAATGTCGCACAAGGAACAGCCTCACGGGTCGCAGCTTGAGAAGCGTGCTGTCGTTTCTTCATTTATTTTTCATTTTCCCAAGGGTCCGTCTGAGAAACCTGTTGTTGCGCTCTTCAAGCGCAGTGATAAAGTGCGGACGTACAGGTTCGTTTGCCCTGCATTATTTTTATTGCAGTAGTCCTCAACTCACTGTCGCAATACAGCCATCATCTCGCCCCGATCTCCGGCAGCATAAGTCGCAACGACAATTCTCCCATCGAAGCAGCGTGGCGCGAATTGGCCGAAGAAACCTCCCTCGACCAGTCTTCACTCATACACTGGCGCACAGGGAAGCCATTCACCTTTGAAGATCGATCTGTCAATCGCGAATGGACCGTTCATCCTTTTGCTTTCAAGCTGAAAGACCCATCAGAGGGAGGAAAAGGCGAAAGCGCTATCAAGATAGACTGGGAGCACGAGGGATGGGACTGGTACGATCCACAATCGGTGCTGGACAGGGAAGACTTGGAGATTGTCCCGCGTCTAAAAGACTCCCTGCGACGAGTCTGGTTCGAAGGAGAATTGAGCGAGCGCGCAGCCAAGGCGCTTTCACTGGGTCTAGAGCGTCTACGAAGCGACCACGAGAGCGGAGCGCAGGAATTGACCGCTATCGCGCTAGTGGCCTTCCGGGATTTCATTGTTCAGACGCAAGACGAGATAAATCGTGAGGGATGGTGGAAAACTGTTCGCATGGCAGCGTGGCATCTTATCAAGAATGGTCGAGAAAGTATGGGCGCCTCGACGATGAATGCTCTGATTGCCGTTCTAGATGAGGTAAAGGACATACTTGTGGACGAGCAGACAAACTCGCAGCATAAGTTGGAGCGGGTCCTGAATGTGCTCGATCATCATCTCAAGTGTCGGAAGAGTCGTCAAACGCAAGTGAAGGATGCCTTTGCAAATTACATTCGATTCAAGTTCCTTCATCATGGGGAGGCGCTGGACAAACTTACCATTTTGACTGTTTCGGCTAGCTCAACTATCCGGGACAGCATCTTGGAAGCGTATGCATCGCTGGACATCCGAAAGCTGGAACTTCGCATTCTCGAGTCGCGGCCACTATTTGAAGGCACTAGTATAGGCTCATCCATCGTCAGCCACTTCAAATCACGGTTCCTGGACACCCCCGGTAAAGAGCTGAAAGTGAAAATATACACAGACGCATCTGCCGCTTTGGCCGCCGCCAACGTGGATCTGTTACTTCTCGGTGCAGACCGCATATCTAGCACAAAAGGAGTGAGCAACAAGACGGGGTCATTACCAGCTGTGCTGTGCACAAAACACGTCAGTCCTAGTGCCCAAATTGCTGTTCTCAGCGACCTCGAGAAGATTAACTGTGTCGGGAGCGTGATTGATGATGATCATCATGAAGACAACGATCCGATGGAGGTCATCAGTGCCTGGCGCAACGATGGCGTCAAAGCCGTACGGGTGCTCGAAGACGGCATGAAGGAGGCTGATGCAGAGGGGTCGTTGACGGTCGAGGTGAAGAATACCTACTTCGAATGGGTGCCGTTGTATATGGTCGATGCGTTTGTTAGCGAAGAGGGCGTTATGGATGAGAGTCGCATTCGGGAGAGGTCGAAACAACTAGGGGAGACGGTTAATAGGTTTTTTGAGGATTTGTGAAGCTGCCATGTGTGATTGGGTTTAGGAACGGGATAGTGATGGACTGAGATATACTAATGATATTTACTATAATGTACCCATAATATACATACAGGCCAGCATGGTCCCTTTAAAGAATTCAAAGACCGGCCTCTGCTTTACAACTTCATGATGTCTATCTTCTCCAGGAAGAGATTCCCAGCTCCCCCTTCGACAGAGCAAACAGATTCTATCCGCCTACTAAGTCGAGGATATGTTTAGCCATTCTTTATAACCATGGTAACTACTCCATCTACATTAGTTCCTCAAAAACGTCAACGCAGCCAAACACAAGGCATCAACCCCCGTCCTCAACGTCGGCTGCACCACCGGCGCAAACAGGGCTGAATGATTCCCCGGAATCTCCTCAACCTTGCCCTCCTTCTCAGCCCTATCCCAAACCCCCTGATCCACACCCCCAAGCAACCAAAAACAGCTCGGAATACCCCGACAAGTAGCAAGGGTACTAAAGTCCTCGGCGATATTAGTCCTAGCCACATCAGGATCAAAATCCTGAAAATGCCCCGCAAACGTCTCCGCAACCCTCCTCGCCACATGCCCATCATTAACCGTAGGCGGAAACCTCCTCGTCGGGGTAAACACCGGCTTCACCGGCGAACCACTAGCCAGACACTCGGCCTGCACAATCCTCTTAATGCCCTCGATAATCTGCTCTCTAACCTCCAATTTCACAGACCTAAAATCCACCCCAATCTCCGCCCGATCCGCAATAATATTCTCCGTCTGACCCGCCTGCAAACTCCCCACCGTCACCACCGCCAAATCCGCCGGATTAATCTCCCGACTCACGATACTCTGCAACCTCACCACAATATGCGCCGCAAGCAACACCGGATCCACCGTCTGATGCGGCTGCGACCCATGTCCGCCTCGTCCAAACACCGTAATCTTCATACTATCCGCCGCCGCCATAATCGCCCCTTCGCGGGACGCGACACTCCCCGCCCGCATACGCATGACATGCTGGCCAAGGACTACGTCCGGCACGGGGATGCGCGAATAAAGCCCGTCGTCGACCATGGCTTGTGCGCCGCCTCCACGCTCTTCGTCCGGCTGGAATAGCACGATCAGCGTCCCGCTCCATGCGTCCCGCAGCTTGACGAGGGTTTCGGCTGCCGCGAGGAGACAGGTCATGTGCATGTCGTGGCCGCAGGCGTGCATGACGGGTCGGTCGTTGCCTTCTGTGTCGCGCATGGTGATGGTGCTGGCGTAGGGCAGGTTGGTTAGTTCCTTCACGGGGAGGGCGTCCATGTCTGCGCGGAGCAGGACGGTTTGGTTGTTTTTGGATTCGTCCGTGACATTGCGGAAGACGCCGGCGAGACCGTACCCGCCGATGTGGGTGTGGATGTCGAAGACACCGAGTTGGGTGAGATGCGCGGCGAGATATTCTGAGGTGTGTTTCTCCTGTCGGGAGAGTTCGGGGTGCGCGTGGAAGTGTTTGTAGAGGACTTCGTAGGGGGTGAGGTCTAGGGGGGTGGAGGAGAGGAGGGATGAGATGGTGGTGGTGGTGGAGTGAGTCATGTTAGTTGTAAATGGGTTGTTGATTAATGGTGGGTTATTAGGTATAAATTGGTTGTGGTAAAAGGAAAGAGATGCATGTTAGAATAAGCTGGTGTTTGATGAAGCTAACTAGTCCGTAATTGCTCTAGTTTTGTCACTAAGATGGCGGGCTGAGATTGCGTGTTTTGGAGAAGTGATCTTAGTCTTTGATGTGACTAACGGCGGATCGGTGGGGTGTATACAGAGCGGAGACTAAACATTGTAAGGTATTTTGATTGTCATGTTTTACTCCCTCATAGACCTGATAAATTGTCTGTATTGACTCACTTCTACTCGAAAATTACAGACTCGCTGACCAAGTAATACGCATAACTAATCAAGTATATTCTATTAAAGTCATCTGGATGGCTTTAAAGCTACGCCTCACCGCTTACCCCGCATTTTATTGCCGCTGTCACTCCGCATTAGCACTCGCTTATCGATAACCAAGCTTGTTACACTACGGAAGTCACAAAGAACCCTAGTATTAGATAGCACATCTCGCTAATAGCGTCACAAGCAAAGGCGCCAGAAACTGCTGATGAGTGCACGGAATGGCTGATACCGAAGTCCGAGTTCTCTTCCAAGCAGGTCAGGAGTGTCGGCATCGCAACGCCGGTCACGAATAAGAAGCAACCTACATGAAATGCATCGGGCATCTGGTTCTCCGACCTCCGTTTCGCCGCTCAAGCAATAATTAGGCTTCAGCTGCCGAACGCCGAGCTGTAAGCCCCGAACCCCGTCTCTATAGGGCGTTCCGATCATTCTGCGATCATGAGATTGGTCTTCGATTGAGATGTCCACTGTACGTCCTGATAATTTTGCGATCTGCAGGTGCATTTTAAGGTTCATTGGGGTTGTTTTGCTCTCAGAGAATAAGAAGCTTTTTTGTAAGATAAAGACAATACTTACATACAAATTCAAACATAGCTTTTTTTTTTTTTTTTTTTTTTTTAATAATAATAATAATATCAATATTATTAATAAAAATATACGATTTTATATGATATGTCCATACTACTTGTATCTCTTGAATGTTTAGTTACAGCTTTAGGCAGGATATGACTCCTCTTATTTTTACAATGCTTTATTGGTATATATCACATGTGTTCTTTCTAGCTCGATATGCATTGACCGCATACAGGGGACCTACAGGTCACTGGAGCAAGCATTTTGAGTTTGCGTCTGTTTCAAGGAAACAGATAGTGTCCTTTGTTTGAACGGGATGCAAGGTCGGACGCAGGAGAGAATTGATCATAACCGAGGCTAGTACCTCCCCCGCCTTCCCACGCTCGGTCTTTCTTTCATCTACTATATATTTGGGTATTCATTTCTGAGATGGTAGACTTCCTTTGCCCACTCTATCTCCTCGTCCCCTCAATATTGAGCATAGGAGTATATCATCCGAGATGGCCCTCAACCAATTTCTACGGACCGACCGTGAGACATACTCCTATGTCTTCATGAAGAATGTCGACATTCCCTTGAAGACCTCTGGCGAAGGAGTCCTCCGCGCCAACGTCTTTCTCCCCAAAGACGCCGCCCCATTCGGCTCGCAAACCTACCCGGTGATCGCAACCTATGGTCCCTGTTCGTATAGCTGCTAGCAAGTAACCCAATGCATCGCTAACAATCATTCAGATGGAAAAGACGTTCCGTATTCCGTCTTTAATCGAGGTAGCTTCGATGGGGTGAACCCACAGCACAAATCTGCCCATTCAGCATGGGAAACTCCAGACCCAGGGTTTTGGACTCAGCGGGGCTATATCGTCTTGAGAGTAGATGAGAGAGGAACTGGGCAAAGTCCAGGGAAGTTAGACATCCTGTCTCGTGGAACCAGTGAGACGTTCTTTGACGTGATCGAGTGGGCTGCTGAGCAGCAATGGTCGACCGGCAAGGTCGGCCTGCTGGGGGTCAGCTATTACGCCGCTACGCAGTGGAGTGTGGCAGCCCGCAGACCCAAGGGGCTGGCCGCGATTATTCCCTGGGAGGGCTTTAGTGACTATAATCGAGAGGCCGCTCGCCATGGTGGCATCCTCGCGGACCAATTCATAGGTCCGTCAGCACCTCCCCTGTGTGTCCCGATTTTCTCGATACTGACTGCACTGGATGTTTGGGATCGTACAGGGATATGGTGGTCTCGTCAAGTACTACCCAACCAATATGGCACTCCCGGTCGCTGGGGTGACCCGACTCTCGAAGGGGACCTGGATCCGGAGACCCGAGCCCAAAACCTGGCTGGCTTGACCGACAACGCCGTCCGGTTTCCGTTCGCGGACGATGAGCAAAACAAGTCTCGAGATTTTGCTGTTGAGGATGTCGAAGTCCCCCTTCTCAGTGTAGCCAACTGGGTAAGCCAGCAACGAGGCCTGCTATGAATACGAGCGTGTACTAACATCTAGGGGCTAGGGTGGTATTTTGCTGCACTTGCGTGGAAATGTGGTCGGATGGATGCGAGCGTCTTCTCGATACAAGTTTCTACGCTTCGTCGTTGGCCGACATGACTTACCCTTTTACTGGGAGCAATCGGCGGAGCTGCAACGGTCGTTTCTGGATTGCTTCTTGAGAGATGACGATCATGCGGGCTGGAAGACTACCCAGCCCCGGGTCTATCTCACTCTGCGGAACAAGGATTGCGACCCCAGGAATGAATTAGATCAACCGGGTCGCCCCGAGGCGGATTGGCCTATCCCCGACACCCAGTATACCAAGTTCTTTCTCACACCGAAGCGTACTTTATCTACCGCAGCTGCTAAGATGACGGGCACCTGTACCTACGATGCGCTCCATGGGTGGGTCATCCCTCTCCTGAACACATCACCTTCGTGGTCTAACTTCTGCACAGGGACCCTATCCAATTCCATTATACGTCCAGCTCTTCCATTGAGATTACGGGGCATATCGTCGTACACTTAACCATTTCCGCCTCTCGACTCAACCCTGACGATGCACCCCCTTCTGATATAGATATCTTCGTCACCCTGCGCAAGCTGGACAAGGAGGGAAATGAAGTGTTCTACACGGGCACCGTCGGCGATCCGGTTCCCGTTGTCAAGGGGTGGCTGCGTGTTTCGCACCGCAATGTGGATGAGACACATCCTTTGCACCGCCCTTACCTGCCATATCGCAGCTACTCCCGTGCTGATGTGCTGCCGGTGGTAGAGGATGATAAGTATCCAGTTGACGTGGAAATGTGGCCGACAACCACGGTCCTGGAAGCCGGAGAATCACTCGTGCTGGAGATTGCGGGTCACGATACGCAGGGTGTGGGCTTGTTTTCGCATCAGCATCCAGAGGATCGCGCCCCAAGCAAGTTTGCAGGTCTGAATCACGTAGAGGTGGGTGGGGATAATAGCTGGATTTTGCTGCCTGTCATCCCACCGCGGAACTAGCAAGCCCTCTGCATAGACGGCCAAATTCATCACCCTAGCTAGCACTAGTACACACTAAGCATCGCATTACTATCTTACAAATTCGTCCAGATATTAAATACCATATTATCCTCCAAAAATCGTATCCTGTAACCATCAACTCTCTTCAATCTCACACCCTCGTACATCATGACATCCCGTTCACTGCTCATCACCGGAGTTTCCGGATACATGTACGAAAGTCCCATTCCCAACAACATAGTACCTACCCCTACACCTCACAGTGGAGGAACCATCCTATCCGCAATCCTCGAAGACAAAAGCCAATGAACCGCGCAGCTCGACATTCACGCCCTCGTGCGAAGCGAAGCACAAGCCAACATAGTCCAAAAACTCGACGTCAAGCCTGTGATGTTCTCCAGCTTCAACGAGACAAATGTTCTCGAGAAGATCGCCGAAGACTTCGATGGTAATCCCCCTACGCCTCCACCTCCACACCTCACCATCATCCTCACCTCACCAAAAATCCAGTCATAATCCACGCCGGCGCCGGCTGGCACACTCCCTCCGCGAAAGCCCTAATCACCGGGCAAGGCACCCGAAAAGCCCAAAACCTCAACCGCGCAGCAGCAGTTCACTACATCCAAGGATCCAGAACATCGAACCTAAGCGACCGACCCTACACAGACAACCACACCGACACGCACCTCTTCACCGACGTTGAAGACATCTACTCCTACGAAAAGTACCGCGAATCGCGCGAAACATACCACCAACGCACGACCGACCTCACCATGTGCGAGACCGGCGATGCCCTCGGCATAACCACATACATCGTCATGGCACCGACTATCTTCGGCCAAGGCACGGGGCCATTCAATCGCTACTCGATCCAGCTGCCAGCTATGATCGCGGACGCGCTGAATTCCGGTGCCGTCAGCGTCGTCGGGAAAAGGGATTACCGTCTGGAGCCATGTGCATATTCAGGACCTGGCTGGCTTGTTTGTCGTGATGCTTCAGAAGATCTGTACAAGGGTGGAGATTCCGTCTGGGAAGAAGGGGATCTACTTCTGTGAAACGGGTGAGCATTCGCGCCGCGAGTTCTCGGAGAGGTTGGCTGTCGCTGCTTGCGAGTTGGGGGTCTTGCCTTCGGCAGATGTGAGGAAGGTTAGTCTGCAGGAGGCGGGGGAGAAGTTGACGTTGGGGAGTGTTTCGAGGGCGGAGCTGTCGTTTGCTGCGAAGTGAGTTTGGGCTGTTCCCTGTAGTTTATGAGGATAATTTGTGGGTAGGGGATATGATGAGATGCTGAGCTGAGGCTTTTTTTTTTTTTTTTTTCAGTGCTCGGACGAAGGCTCTGTTGGGCCGTGAATTGGGTTGGACGCCTTCGCATGGTGATGAGTGGGAAACTACTTTTCATGATGAAGTCAGTGCGTTTGTTAAGAACCCTCCGGGCGAGCGGGATGTTCCGGTCTTTTTGAGGAACGTTAGATGTACATGTGTATATATACGGGCTATGAGGGTATTGGGTATGTCAATGTGTTGAAAGATATATGAAGATAAGGTATCAGAATGGACACAGGCTAGAGAGGATATACTCTGCCGAGGATGTCAAAGTTGTCTACCTCGAGTTGTTACGTATTTTCTATGTGCCAACTGCTTTGGCAGATTGAATATAATTGGTTTTGGAGAACTTCTGGTTATGAAACATGTCTTAGAAGTACTGCTTCGTTCATTGTATCCTACCTAGTAGCCCAGGCCAGACGAGTCATGTCCAATACATGTCGATTTCTCAGCTTTCTTGTGAGTACTTGGTAAGGCCACGATAGCTGAAGGAGCTTTTGATAGCTGAAGGTTACTCATGAAGCAAATAAAGCAGTACAAGACATGCGATCACTGCTCATCACTGCCACTCCCCGATTCAGAAGATGAGGAAGACTCTTGCGGCGGCTCTTTCTTGGACTTCTTCGATGAAGACTTGGTTCTCGATTTACCTGCTTTCTTGGAGCCCTCTCTTCCTTTTGATTGATCCTTCTCGCCATCTTTACCCTTCTTCTTCTGGTGTGATCTTGATTTCTTAGACGGCTGGACCACCATAGGCTCGGAATCACTTTCACTGTTCTCCTGACTAGATCTCTCACTGTCACTGGTTTCTGTCTCCTCTTCGGACTCATCTTCATCGTTACTCAAAGTTGGCCATCGCATTTTCTTCTTAGACAATTTGGGCGTGGCTTGTTTCCGTCGGGAGGGGGTATCAGGGATTTTCTCGGTGAGGTCGTCCCGGCGAAGGGCATTATACTTTGCCCGTGTATCATCGGAGGTCCGAACCTGGGTCAGATATGACTCGAAATGGGCATTGGCTTTGGCCACAGTGTCGAGATGCTCGACTTTCAGCTCCGGACATGCCTCGCTATCGGGGTTATCTTTGATCTTGTCCCATTCAGCCAGTGCGACCGCCGTTTGTAAGGCGTTTTTGATCTGTCGGCCGTTCCAACGGTAGCCGTCTTTCCAGAGGCGTCGGGCAAAATCCAGAATTTCTTTCCTATCAAACTTGACTGGTATCGGGCAACTGCCATTTTGGAGCCTCAGGCGGCCGATCCCTTTTCTCCATACTTCAAGAGTTCGCTTGCGGTCCAAAGGAGGGTAATACAAGGCGCAATGGATGCGTGATGTGGCGGCTTCATCGAAGTCGCCTACCCGATTAGTTGTCAGGATCAGGATTCCTGAGTAACATTCCAGCACTCGCAAAAACACTGTATGCCGGAAATTGTCAGGGGCCATGGTACTTATGCATTGGTGAGAAACTTCTTAGATAACTTACCCGACACCAGGCTGTTTTGCCTGATATCTCCTTTAATGCGTTCACCGAGGAAGACATCTGCCTCATCGAGCAGTAAAACACAGCCCCATTTTCTGGCCATGTCGAAAAACCGTTCAAGGTTAGCTTCGACCTCCTGGGCACTGTCCCCACCAAGATCACCGCAAGTGATTGGAAATAAGGGGCGACCAGTGTGGGCAGCGACGCATTCCGCGGTGGACGTTTTGCCAACTCCCGGCGCTCCATGAAGGAGGATAATTAGCCCCCGTCCTTTTCCTTTCACAATGTCAAATTCACGCTTTACAAGCGAATTAGCCATTTCTGTGCTTCCCAAAGTGCCTCGTGCGCGAGCGTGGGTCTTAACCAGTGCTCGCACAATATCACGATGCTTCTCAGGCAAAACAAGGTCATCAAAGGGATCAGGTTGGTTTCCGCCGATCACATTAATCTCCGTAATTAAGTCAATGTCCAATGGATCTGTCGCAAAATTAGAAGAGCTCTGAGTTGCCTGGAAATATACTGCAAAGTCACGTACGCCAAGCTCGACTGAGGAGGACATATCCATAGACCCTGGGCGGGAGAAGCATTAAGCTATCGTCTGATAAGGCTTCAAGATCTTGATCCTCAAGGAGTGATGTATTCTGGATGAAATCGAACCGCAACTTGTTCAAAAGATCCTTGTTATCAAAGTCGCAGTCCTGGTCACGCGTTTCGTCGGGATTTTCTTCTGTCGGCTCGAAGATCACACCACCACCGTAATCTGGGAGATTCGTTGCCACCTCCTTACTCCGCAAAGCGAGCTCGAAGTCGATAATCACATCACTATCGATCTTACCAAGAATTGGTTAGGACAAACCTGGAATGACAGATATGTGACACAAACCTCTTCGTACTTGTTGAAATCGCTTTCGCGCAAATTCAATCCCTTATATCTTCTGTGAGATACTCCCGCCAAGTCGACGAATTTTCTACCTCGTTGTACAAGGATTTCACGAACTTGCGGTTCAAACTCTAGTGGATAGGCCTCCAATGCTGTGATAGGTAGCTGGCCATCATATGGTCTGATGGATATGATTTTAGGGAGCGCCCTAATATGTTTACCGTCAAAGTCAAGACAAAAGCAGTCGATGACCAGGTTTGAAGATTTCCTGGAAGACGCTGCCTTGAATGCCTCGACTCCTGCTGCCCTTCTTCCTCCACATACCTGTAATACCCGGTAGGCCTGATACTTGGGCTTCTTGGTGACGATTACCTGACCCGGATAGTACAGATGCCAGAGGTATGGAAAGGGGATGCGCTCCAGCGTTCCCTTGACGATCTGCTGGCGTGCTCTTACCAAATCCCCGAGGTCACAATCTAGAAAGTGAATAAGGGTTCTCAGACCATCTAGCAGAGTTCTGGCACGCAGCACATCATCCCTGCCTCCTGGGTAGGTGCCATCTGCTACGGGATCATCGGGAGGGTGTACTGAAGATAAATGCATTGTATAGTACGAGAAGGGTTCCGGGAGCCAGGAGTGTGTGCGTCTTACGGCTGGATCGTCTGGATATATCATAGCGAGTTTGGAGAATTCTTGTTCTTTTTGAAGCAGTAACCTGCGGATTTCTTCATGGTATGGAACGATGGCGCGATACGGAGCCACATGGTCATTATTGGAATTGTAAATACCGACAACCTCCTCCAGAGCCATTTGAAGAGCCCTGTTAACAATCTTGACTCGGGGTGGGAGAAAAGATCTCTGTATCCGTTCGTCACTGTGTTCACTTTTTATCGACCGTTGATGTGGCAGCCGTTCCGGAATTGTTTTGCAGGTTGATTTGCCTGCCTCCCCGCCAACATGTGGCACGTCTGAGGCAACATAAAGGTGACATCCAGCACAATAATCCTGAAATCCAGACCACTGGGCGTTTGGCACGTATATTATACCATTGCTTTCAACGAAGTACTTTTTTGCTTCCTTGTATTTCTTGAGAACATTTTTCACGGAGGGGTCATCATCGTCGGAATCGGAAACGGAGTTCATGTCACTATCAACGCCATTCGTATCGCCTTCTCCAGCTTCTGGGGACAAGGGGCGCTCTTCTCCATTAAGAGGTGATGGGTCCTCGATTGGAGCCTCCTGTGCTGTGATGGTAGTATGCGTAGGCGATATAGGCGCCGGGGTATCTATCTCAACCACTGTGCAGTCCATCCCGGAGTTAGAGAGACTCGTAGGCAATTTTGGCACGGTGTCGTCGGTTATGGGATCAATCACCTTCAAAGTGATCAATACAAGATAGTTATTCAAAGTGTCTGATTGCGATAGAATGATGGTAGAACAGGAGACTGGAATGCGCCTTATACTTGTTATATATTGGTTGGCACTAAATAGTTCTCAATACACCCCGTTCGAAGACGAGGAAGCTCCACTCACCTCTGAGTGCTTCTATATTGTCACACCTTCTCTCTTCTGTTTTTTTTTTTTTTTTTTCAACTAGTGAAGATGGTGGGGTAATTCTTGGGATTGGTTGGTCCAGCAAGTGCCATTATTGAGACCTCGCGTCGGGCTTTATCGGGCAACAGATGGTTCCCGAAGCAACGAGCTGAGGAGAAGGCTCGGTGGTGATAATGACGGTCCAATCGTATCCGAAGATTAGCGACAATATCCCTGTGAATCCCTGCTAGAACGCGTATCATGTGTGGGCACTCGGGCGCAAACTGCAGAACTTACGCAGTACACGTCGACGGTCTGTGGGAACTGCGAAAAATGCCTCATGTAGAGGGGGGAGGAGGGGGGAGGAGAGAAAAAGTAATATGTAGGCAGTCTGCTAAAGGCATTGCTGGGGCTGCTAGTCTGGCTCACCATAAGCATGGAGTCGGTCGATGGCAGAAAAAGCAAACGTCTTGGAGATAATGAGAGCCTGAATTACTGTCTCTGGATGGGCCCCCGCCCCCTCCTCCCTCCCCTTCCTTCCCGCTCCGACCACTCTATCTTCTGTTCATGTAGCTCGCCGCTGAATGATACCTCTTGAATATTTCCAAATCCTCAAGGGCGTTTGCTTCACTTACGGCACGATCCTAGCTGTTTCCGAGGAAGTCTTGCTTTATCTCCCGGATATCGATCTTGGTTCTCTCGGACTAAGCCTGGCTTGTAGCGATGCCTCCAACCTCACAAAAGTCAATCAGGCAGCTTCTTGGGACTTCCGAACAGATACACCAATCCAAGATGCACATTGTCGGCAGATATGCCCAGTATGCAGAACTTGGCTCTATGCTAGACCCTGCAGTTCGGTTCGACACCGCAACCCAAAGGTTTATTCCAGCTAGCCCTGAAGGGGATACTCACATTGCGTAAGACCTTTGCTCGATGTATTTGTCTATTCAGGGGAGTAGTACCTGACGAGGAGTACTGTGGCAGGACAAAGGTGAAACTTCCGCCGCCTTCGGTCTACGAAGAAGAACAAAAGTTTCTACAGGCGATGCGAGACTACGAAAACGATTCTAAAAATAAATATAAGACGGGTATCAAAGTGGACCAAGTTCACACCATGGAGGAGCTTTGAAATAGTGTGGATCAGGTCGCAGCGAAATACAAGAACAGCGAAGCGGAAAAGGGTGTGTGGAACCAGATTCGAAACGCATTCCGGAAACTGGGGGACCATGAGAACGCTATCAATGGATGGCTGGGGCTTCTGCCCTCCGAATCGAACTATTTGAGCGTTGTCTGTGGAGGACTCAAGTTTATCCTGCATGTATGGGCTCGATTGTGTGCATACGGTGTCTATCACTCGCTAATAATAACAGGCAGTGGCACGTGCCAAGGAGGTGCGTAATGCCATCGTCGGTGGCCTCCGTGATATTCCCATATTACTGGGTGGTGCTCAGAGGGTTTTGGCAATTTATAAGACGTCTGAGCCTCTCCGGGCTTGCAGCGATGCTCTATACCTTGCAGTTCTAACAGCTCTGGGGCAGATGCTAGCATATACACAGAAGCACACTCTTAAAAAGGCACTGGGGGCAATCATGCGAAATTCAAGCTTCCAGATGGCCATGACCCAAAGTATTGAGGATGTGCGAGAATGCAAGGATAAGTTCAATGAGGAGGCTAACATATGTAGCATGCAGATGGCTATTCAGATCGAACGGTCATTGCAGGGCATTGACAAAACGGCTACAGGTACTCGTGAAATGTTGGAGGACTCTATGGAGCTTATCTGTAGCGAGGTTAGAAGGACGCAAGCGCTTCAAGCTCATGATAACAAAACAATCGAGGAGAAGATTGACAGGAGTAACCAACTCAATGAAAAGATTAACTCAAAGTTGAACGCACTCCTGGTCTTATTTGAGTGTAACCCACAATTAGCGGATGAAGCATACGTCAATTGTGAGTCCGGCTTCACCATACTCTCCCTTTGTATGCTAAGATTGGTTTGCGGAAAGCTCAAGGGTTTTATGCGCCTCCTCCATACGCGATGATGTCCTATGTATCTGGTCACACAAGTCACCGCGTGGCCCAAGAAGGTCGGTTCAGAAGCTTGAATTTATACGGAGGATAGACCTGAATAACTGATACGCCCAGCTTCAGTATATTCCCAACGCGACCTTCGTGCCATTGTCCGATCAAGACTCATATATGAAGAACATCGAGCCCAGGCTGATGTTGTTGCTAATTACCAACTAGCAGGAAGGCTATCACTTGAAGACCAAGATCGTTGCGTATACGTGATTCGTTCACCCGAGCTGGCAGCCTGGATCCGTACGCCAACCTCCAGTATCTTGGTAGTGAACGGCAACGCACCTAGAAACCAATACCAAACGCCATGGACTTTCACTGCCGCCCGGCTGATATATACGCTCGACATGATGCGGGCCAAGAATTCCGATAACAAGGACCAAATAGCTGCGGTCCATTTCTTCTGCGGCGAGCATGTTGATACCAGCAGTGAGCTAGATTTTCCGACAACCATCGCGAACGAGATTCTGTCACAGCTTCTGTCTTCTTTCAAGCATATCGACCTTGTTCCCCTTCTTAAGATGGGCGAATTCGATGGGGACGACATGCAAGCCGTCTGTCAACGGATTGAATGCTTCCTAGATCTTCTGCCAGCGACAGCGGTTGTCTTTTGCATAATCGACGGGTTGTCATTTTACCTCGCTGATGAGCAGACATCTGAGCGGGCAAATGAGTTGCTTCGGTGGCTTATCAAATTGACACGCCATCAACAAAAGGCCAGGAAACACTTGGAAGTATGCACGTTCAAGTTATTTCTTACTGCGCCGCGGCAGCTTCAAGGATCGTATGTCACAGAGTTAAAAGCGGATGAAGTCCTAAATGTGCCAATCAGGCCTCCTAGAACAGGAGGCTTCACGGAAATGAAATGGGAAACTGGAGCGGGTGGCCAACTTGGCATGCTAGGATGAGGTGTTTGTATAGTAAGCGAATCATTACAACAATTTTGATATAACCTGAATGAGTACACATTCTCCTATACTTGCAGAGACTCTCCGTACAAATTTCCCACTGCGTAGTTGAACGATGCCTCGGTGAGTGATCTGTGGCATTCTTAGGAGCAAGAGCTTTCAATCTCCGGTGATATTGTCTCTGTAGTAAATTGATGGTCTCAGCAAGGTGATGAAGACTTACAATCTATATCCTCGAGCTTGTATACCGGCTGTTCTTCCAAAACCTGCAGCTCACTGACGGAGGAACCAGCTCGGATAGTCGTACGATTTATGAATCAAGCACGTAATATAAGTAACCAAGCAGGTAACCCACAAGCAGAAGCCATATTCTCTCTCAACACCCTCCAATCAACCTACCCAACCAACTAAATCTTACACCGACCTCCAACCCTCCCCAAAATCTCATCCACCCCCCTCCCCGCCTCCTCTACATCCCTCCCCAAATCACGAAACCACAACCACTCAAACCACCCCGCCTGCAACTTCCCCAACATTTTATAAATATCCTTCCCCGTCTCAGGATGCTCATAATAAAGCATCGTCGCCATCTCATGCGCCCGCTCCAGCTGCTTCTGAGCCCTAGGCCTCCTGACCTGATCATACCCCGCAAACCCGGCCTGGATATACGGATGCAAAAGATCACTGCCCGGAACATTTCGACAGATCTTAGCGATCACGTTAGAGAGTACTAACGCGTCTTCCAGCCCCTGACCGGCACCGGCAGCCTGGAAAGGCAGCGAAGCGTGCGCACTATCGCCTAACAGCACGACGCGATCACGGTAATACGTTGATGTGTAGCGGTGGTGAAACAGACCCCATCGGATGGGTTTCGCTTTGCGGAGGAGTCGGCGGAAGCGGTTGTCGATGCTTGGGTCGTTGAAGTCGGACATCATTGTTTCGTAGGTTACTTTCTGGGTTACGGCATTGGGAAGAGCCCAGGGTTTGTCGTCTGCTACACAGAGGAGGAAGTTGAGTTCCTGTTTCCCAAGATGGGAGTTAGTAAGTGAACTGTGGTATGTGGCTAATCTACCAAACAAGTCGAACATACCTCTCCGCCCGATATCAGGTAATGAACACAACAGCGTTTCTCACCCAGGTACATCTTCGCCACGTCCGTCAGGTCGCCGAAGATCTCCTTGCCTTTGGCAATGGGTATCACGCCGCGGTAGCAATACGAGCCGGCGTAGACTGGATTGACCTGGCTGGGGTACAGTGGTGATAGCACGTGCTCTCTCACAACGCTCTTGATGCCATCTGCGCCGACTAGGATACTGGCCTCGGCGGTGTCGCCGTCTGCGAAGGTTAGGGTGACTTTGTTTGGATGCTGTTGGATATTTGCTAGGCGCTTGCTGAAGCGGACTTTTTCAATTGGTATGAAACTGGTCATTGTTTGGAGAACATCATTGCGGTGCGCCTGATCATTATTAGCATGACTGAACTCGAAATGGGGGTGTCCAGGGGTGGCATACAGCTCTGCGAACATAGTCCGGGTGACCCCATGATGATTTGCCGTACCAGGGCTCTTTGAGACCTGCAGTGTTTGCCAATCAATAACTTGGTCACTGATTGGTTCCGGAGTGAAATATATGCATACCAAGACCCTCCTTTAGAAGCATCCCTTCAAAAAAGATATTCTGAGCATCTTCAGGCTTATTACCCATACAGAAGCGCTCAAATTTCGAAAGAAAGCCCTCTTCAATCATATCCAAAGCCAAGTCACCATTGGTTCCGAACCCTATGCCGGCCCTATAGCCAGTCAGAAAGCTGAACCGTGATTCCATCCAGATGGACGGCAAAGCAACGAAACTTACCCGACAGTGGAATATTGAGCTTCCTCTTCATAGACCGTAAATGGTACGCCCTGCTTGTGTAGTCCCATCGCCAGAGCAAGGCCTCCAATGCCGGCGCCTAGAGACAATCATTGGTAAATCCGGCGAGTTGAGTATGAGAGTGACTGCGACGTACCGACGATAGCAACGTGCATGTCTTTGACTTTATCTCCCGCCATGATAATGGCTTTCGGCTACGTTATCTGCTATTAGAGTTTCTGCCAAGGTTTCTGTAGAAGATTATTCTGTCGATCCTTTGACGAAGGCAAGACCAGCTGCTATCTCAATGACGGGCAAATGGACAGCCTCGCGTGCGGGGTTGGCGGGTTGGGTCGGATGTAAGCCCTCTGCATCTCGATAAGCGCGCTATGCGCGGATACTCCGACAAGAGCATGTTTCTGAAAAAGCCTAATGGTGAAATTGCTGATTTACTTTTGAGATGGCTGAAAAATGTCCAATCTCGTCCCTAGATTCTACCTAAACTCTGACAGGTCAGACGAGTGGTGGAGATCTTATATCTGTCGAAATAGTACTATTTAATTACTGCAAAATGGGTAAAGATGGCTAAATAAAGTACAACAAGAATATGGGAATACAAAATTTGATTGCACGGGTCGTTGGCTACTCTGTACAATCTGAGAGCGCAAGCCTGGAATTTACAGAGTTGTTTGCGTGACATACTACCGATGAGCTGGTGCGCGTTATTTAGTTATAACTAGCTTTTCAAGGATGTAATTTGCAAGAGTTAGGGGGTATAGGTCAACCATAATATATCATGGAAAGAGTCATATTGTTCAGAGAGAAGGCGGGGAAGTCCTTCCTCCCAGCTACTAGTATTCTCTTTGACTGAGACAGAAACCATGGACCGCCAGATTTATCCTCCGTTGCGAACATAGACTGTTTATGCAGTTGAACAACAAAATAGAGCTGTCGAAATCCCGAGTCCCTTCACGAACAAATTGTCTCATGGATTCGCAGACAGTTCCACATTTGCGCCAGACTATTATGAGAAGTAGAAAGACAGAGGCACACCGAGCAAGTATCGCGCACGAGCATACCAGCCTCTAACTAATCAGTAGCGTGCTCCTCCTTGACCATCGGTCTTAATAGAGCCTTGGTGTCTCCCACAGCCTGACTGCACATATATAACAGGAAAAGCCGGAAGTTCGTCTGCCTCGCGCCCGGAGTATAGAAGTCGTGGAGACGAGTCTTCAGCACAACCAACTCTTTGCCATCGAAGTAAGCGATCAGAATTCTCGCCTTCAGATTGTTTGTGCATGATGTCAAGAGAACCTAGAATGCCTCTATTAGTTGGGAAGATTCAAGAGGAAGCTGATTTCGGGGAGACATCAACTCACCGGAGCCACAACGTGGTCTTGCAGCTCTACCCTCCCAAGCCGGGTCCTCATGACGCCGACTAGAACAAGAAGTTCGGAACGGAGGATGTTATTATCGCACACTCCCTCATGAGTCACGATCAGGTTTATGTGAGGAAGCTCCTGGCCCTCGGGCAGATTCGGATACCAAGCATCTTCAAATCTGAGAGGTGGTGAGGCCAGAGGATCACTACCAGGGTCTGTGAACATAGCCATATTCATATAACGTTCCTTGATTATGGTATTATTGAAGTACCTGGCGGATGGGTACTTGTCAGTATGCGTAGCTATCATAGAATATTTACGTATATACGCAGTGGTTAACTGACCTTCCGAACCAGCCTGATAGATCATCGAGCGTAGCTTCGTCCCCAGTGTTTCTCCTTGCGTGCCATGTAAATTCGCAGATGAACACACTGGACAGGAGAAGCCCAGAGTCGTCACGTTCCGGATCAAGCTCGCCGGTCGATTCACGCGACCTCTCTTCATCGAGGTCCGCGAAGCACGCCTCATTGGTTCGGATGGATTTTTTAGTATCCGGGTCGTCAAGATCAAGGGGAAACTGCTCGAGCTTATCCAAGGTCCAAGGCTTGAAATAAGTCTGTGCAGTAGCCGAGGAGCCACCGTCGGTGCGCAACCTGAGGTCATGGCACCTGATGTTGTATTCGGCAGCCTGGTCGTTGGTGAGACTGGTCAACGGCAAGAGCTTGACAGACCGGTGCACTTCTCGAAGGTTATGTAGAATCTCCTTCCGCGCTTCTTTGAAGGTCTCATCGTTGTCCTGCCTTTTCTCTCTGGAGCGCCTCAACGTGCCAAACAAGTTCCGAAGTGACATTTCGGGGACACAAGTATTGTTGATTGGGCCTAGGAGAAACAGAAAGGTGTCTTGGGGAAAAAGCCCGCAACTTAAATCAAGGAGATGATTCTTGCCTATGACTTACGAATGAGGTAGAATGTGTGTTGTGTGGGAAGACGCGGAGTGGCTCCCTCAACCATGGTCTCAACTGAGGTACTGAGTAGTGAATGCAAACTAACTTTGTCCACCGATAGTGTTTTCATTCATTACCGTGTTACTGATCCTTTGTTTCCACCGTATTTTACTTCTTGTGAGAAGTTTCGCCGCAAGAGTTGTTCCTCAACAACGCGCTAAACCAACCCAATCTGACTTGCACGCCTTGGTTCGGAACAACAGAAAACATGGCAGAGAGACGAAAGGCGCCTAAGGTGCCTAAAGTCACTAAAGGACAGCTACGTGTGACCGGCTTCAAGCTTCCGAAAAGTTTGAAACAATTGAAGTCCTTGTTAGCCAAAGATGGCCTGGGTTCGAAGACAATTCATGAGATAGAGCCTGGGCATCTGGGCTCAGGTTCCGACATCAATCAACGCCAATATGCCATGTTTCGCGCGTTTTCCACACCCATTTTCCGTCCTAGTCGATTGCGCAAAGATATGCAGGACTTCGGGCTCGACCAGACTTGGGACCGGGCGAGGGATATAGTCAACCAGTCCTCCGAGTTTCGGCGGTACCTCGCACTCTTACAGGGCGTGCAAACAGTGTCCGGTCTGAGTCCGTCTAGTGCGGCGTGGCCGGGTGCCTTTAAACCAACGCGTGATGTTCAAGAGCAAGTTGTGACGGTCAAGGGCGTGTCGACTCTTGAGAGAAGCCAGAAGTCAAGACCTCGTGGAACCAGAAGAGCGACTACTAGAGCTAAACAAGAAGACTTGAGCACCGGTAAAAAGACGATTGGACGAAGACTCGGGCGAAGAGTTGCCGGGGTGTTAAAACGCCGTCGCTCTTCAATCGAATCAGAGTCAGATTCGATGTCTCACTCCATTCTCTTCGATGATCCGGATGAGGTTTCTAGTGAAGATGACGATCCGACCTATGTTGAAAAGGATGACGAGTTACCCGATGCCGACGATGAAACAAGCGTCAACACGGCGCTCATTCTGCTCTTGAAAGAGCTTTCGCATCTGATTCCGAACATTAAGTCGGACTGGACATTTGACCATCTCAGCTTTTCGCCGCAATTCAAAAAAGGGTCATACACCGCAATTACAGACGGCGGGCTACGATCAAAGACGAACCAGGCTATTATGTACATTGTAGAAGCTAAAAGAAGGGTCAGATCGGCAAGATACGAAGACATCGTGATGCAGGAAGCCGCCGAGCTCGTTGGCTGGATTCAGCATGGAGACTCTCCTCGCCCTGAACTGAAGGGACAGGAAGTCAATGTTATCCAGATCTCAAACGGTGAAATATTGTTGTGTCTGTACTAATTCGGCCGTATGATGGTGAGTAGCCTAGCCCTACTTTCTGGTGATCGACACGAAATTTATGTGACATTTGCGTCATGCTCTCCCGACTACCAGGCATACTTGAACCCCGAGATCGGGCACGCAACTCCAGATACCCATATGAAGATGCAGACTTATGGCCCGTATAATACCCTTGTAAACTGCCACATGGAAGACTTCGCCGTGGTTGTGGTTAGCTTGATGCTCCTTGCGGAGAAAGCTCTATAAGGAGGTTGTGATACTAGGTTCATCTAAGATCGGTAACAAGCCTCAGCTGACGCGGCCACTTGTCTACTGGACGCCAGTTAAGACTGGTAAATGGCACAAACATTACAGACGAGTATATCTCTTGAAGGCCAACTGACATCTTCTTCTGTGTTTTATTAAAGATCTTGTTATTTGTTTATCTTCCTCTCTCTCAATTATCTTAATATGTTAGAAAGTTTACATAGTGACAATTCGGGATGCGCTTGTCGCCGCATGACTTGGGGATAGACGTAAATAAGGGAAATATTCTTGCTTATAACTCGCAAAATGAGGTAGAATCTGTGTCTTGTAGGAAGTTGCGGGTGGCTCTCCCAACCATGGTCTCGACTGGGGTACAAGTAAATATGAACCAATATTTTCGCCCATGTCAAGATGATGATAATATCCAGGAAAGTAAAAAAGTCATACAGACCAAGCAACACAATCCTATTGGTAGCGTTCCGGTATGACGTGAGAAACCTCAGAATCTACCCACTCAAGGGAAGGCTGGACGCCGAATAACTCCCACATCTGCGCGTTGTTCCAGTTGGATACCATATTTGGATCTATGGCCCCGTCATCGACAATACCACTGCGAGTTGCGCTATCATATATGTAATTATCAGCATCAACCTGCGGAATACTTACTTCCGCTCCGGAACTCGATGGCATCGTAGTCAAGTTAGTCTCGTCCAGTGGCATAGCCATCGTGTTAACGCTGCCGTCTCCTTGCATAAGCGGACTGCATAAGTTGAGAAACGTGGTAAACAAGTGGTATAATTTGGAGATAGGAGGGTTGGTGTCTATAAATCGATGCAGCCCTCTAGTAGTTTCATGCATAAGTTGGTAGTCTTCCGTATTAGAGGTTCCGACCACATTGCAGAACAAGAGGTAAAATGGAGTCATGGGATAGGAGAGCACGGTCCTAGTGATTAACACTTTCAGAGTCAAGTCAAATATAGAGTGAGATTAGGATGCCCACCCTGATAAAAACATTGAATAGGTACCGACAAAGCAATCATCCTCGTTGAGTAATTTGTGTATTCGTCTCAAGGCCTGGAAGGCGTGGCGGGCTTGTTCTAGGCATTCTTCGCGAGCCTGAGGTTGAGCTTGCACCCTAGGGCTAAGGTGTAGTAATGTTGCCATAATGGCATGATATCGGAACTCAGTTGCAATCCATTCCACCTGTAAAGCAGGACTAGAATCACGGCATCGCTGGTGAAACCGTTAGACTAGACTACCGCCAAAGAGAGACGGCAATGCGGAGGATAGGTAAAACTTACCTCGTCAATCACGCCTCGCAAAGAAGCGAGATTTTGTATGGCTGCGTCAAGGGTTGTGTCCACGTCGCTGATATCACTGAGGCCATGATTCCTATGGACTACATCCATTGCAGCTTCTTGAATCTGAGCAAGCTCAACCATTGTTTTGACAATCAGGCTGAGAGCGCCACTTTCCATCGGAATTAGTGACGCTGGGTTGAGTTTCAGCCTTGGCAATGAAGGAGGGCGAAGCAGCAGCATGCTCAGCATTTTGTCAAGGTAGAAGCAAGAAAAAAGACAGAAACGAGCATCTTGATCCTCTTGACAACGAACTGGAGTATCGTCTCTGATTGTATGATAGTTCATGGCAACAAGTATTTGCGAAGCGAACGCCGTGAGAGTCCAGCCTCGAGTTGGATATCCCTGCATTTGGTGCAGGAGTGCCTAAGTGGAGTCTTGGTCAACTCCTGTTCGAGCGACGGGGAGGGAGAACATACGGCCGATAGTAAGGCCTGAACCAGAGTGATAGAATATGTACCAATGAAATTTATCTGATCCAATGCCCGCAAAGCCGCGGACGCGTATCTCTCTTGGGTCTTTTTGACGTGAGTGCGGAGCCGCGGGCCCAAGCGCTGCTGCGGTACGCGGGCGAGAAAGAACAGTGCTTTGGTGTAAACGCAAACCTGATAATGCAGAGATGTCTGCCGATCTAGTTTGCCCTCTGCAAGCGAGAGGCTCATGTGCTCTAGGCATTTACTCGATATATGGTCGGGCCAGTAGAAGTGTCTCTGAGCGGAATGCTGATGTGATATATCTATACGATGTCAGAGTTAGTACTTGGCTTTCTAAGAGTTTCGATAACACGAACCCATAGACATCATAAGGTACAATTCTAAAGAGAACTCTTCCCGGACAGATGCGTCATGGTCGTCTGCACATCTCGGGTTCCCACTGGAAACCTTAGGCTCTGTGGAAGATGCGGATATCTTGTTGACCAGCAATAAGGCGTTCTCCAGAACCGTACGCCTTTGGGGAGATAGATGATTGCTATTCTGCAATTCCTGTTGGATTGACCGTCGTGCCTCGCTGACTTGGTGAATAGGCGTGTCCTCGCTCACAGCTGGAGACTCGGAGACCCTCTGACAAGGAGTTTCCCTTTTCACGGAATTCAGATTCCAGATAACAGTTTCTGGAACATGAGACGATATGGGCTGATCTGTTCTGGTACTATTCGATTCCCAAGCTTGGGATCGAGCATAGCTCCGTGAAGAGGTGGCTGCAGCATTTGAAGGGTAGGAAACAACATGCTCAAGAGTCGATAGCCTCTCCGACAGTCCGGCAATTCTGGACTGGGCGTTACAATCCGAAACCCCAGAGGTGACCGAACACATTTAGTTCAGACGAACTTACCGGGAAACCCTGGGACGCATGCTGCGTCTGGGTCGGGTTCGTCGACATTCCGCACGAGCATCCACGCAATTCATACAAGGGTCCAGCCGATCGCATTTCACCTATTTAGTGGAGTGTGTCAGGGGAGATTTGGTGTAGGAGAGATGAAACAATGTGACAAAGGTCGGGTAACGAACCTTTCTTGTGTGACACAGATCACACTTAGAAATTTCATGGGCAAATGTCAGCCATCGGGGAGGTAACCCACAGCTCCTCACGATAAGAAGAGAAAACTGATTCAAAGACCCAGGAAGGACCAAGTCTTTCATTGGGTGGGGAGGTACTTGCTAACGGTACGAGGGACTTACAGCTGATCTTTCCATTGCGATCTGGTTGGCCATTGTGCCAGATCCCTTTTCTCTCGCTGCGGTAAGATGGGTATTGTCCAGCCATCCAGCCAAGCACCAATGACAGCAATGGAGATTGGGGGCGATCTATTTGCGGTGGTCCGAACATCCGACTATATTTGGTAATAGTGTGTGAGGCAGTAGCCGGCTTTATAATGAGATTGGTCAAGGCAGGGGAGGAAAGGGCTAGAAGAGAAGATTGATGTTGATATAAATGTATTTGAAGGCTGCTTCTTCACCAGCAAAATCTGATAACACAACTCGGCACGTGGTAGCAGCCACTTGTGCCGACTAAGGCGATGCTGATTATGAATCCCCGTCAACAGTGGAAGAAGTAGAGAAGTTTCTATGACAAATGTGGATCCAGCTTTGTCAGTCGATTGTTGCACGGGTGCGTTTGACTCGCCTTCATTGGTAGAACATCCAACCAAGTATACTTCATCAAGTAGGAGATAAAGAGATGGAAAGGGTTTTCAGTGAAGAATTGAGAGTGGAAAGGGGCAATGCAGCACGAGATCAAGCAACTACTCCTACGATGCTGACTCTGTCGCTTAAATGAGTAGCGTTGCCCTAACCCGACGTGGCTTAAAGGGGTGCCCGGCATAAGCATTACAGGAACGAAACTACCATTGAAAGCCATGTTTCATTTATATTCATACTACGCCATCGAAATATCCGTCAGATACTGAACAACAGCCCCGACTGGTGATACTGCGGCTCCTGATGGGAGTCGGTCCCCAGACATTGCAGGTTGAATAGATTAGGAACAAGCTTTTCACCAGTGGAGCCGGCCGAGGAAAGAAGGCTGTGTCCTTATTTATAGTTAATGTTTGTGCTTAATTCATAACTTTTTCCTAAAAATTGGACCAGTCTCTATGACCCATCACGCCTCGTATGCTCTCAGTTTGAAGTCTGGAATAATACCACTTTGGGTTGTGCTTTCGGCTAGACGGCTAGCAAAGCCTTGGAACCATCCAAACTTGGCTAACAGCTAAGCCTCTCTAGTGTGTTGACGGTGTAATACACGTGGGTCAAATCAAGTTCAATTCCTTAATAAAATGTCCTGATAGACAGCCGGAAGCCTCTACCACCTGGATAACAGCCTGACTATCAGTAAACAGGTGGTTTGGGCTGCATCTCGGTGAGGTATTTCTCACAAGAAAGAGGGCCATCTCAATACTCTTCAGCTTGGCAGCATATACCATTGAATCGCATATACCATTGAATCAGTTTCAGCGCCCAGGTATGGGAGACGCTACCGCCACACCGGCCAGGCTTCCTCCACACCAGTCTTCGCTCATGCCACACCCTCTACCTTCTTTTTAGGGTAAGGTACTATCCATTAACAGTAAGGTTTCATCCAATCAAAGTAAGGCTTAGTTTTTATTATAGGCAGTACCCTACCGCCTCCTACTTTAAGAATTTTATTACTCGGGCCAGTGAACTACTGCATTAAGAGAACGGTGAGCTGAGTTTGTAAGGCTATACTTAAAGGGAAGGGACTATGCCTTCTTAGATAGGCGGAGGGTGTGGCATGAGCGAAGACCGGTGTGGAGGAAGCCTGGCTGGTGTGGCGGTAGCGTCTCCCCCAGGTATAGCCCGGCGCGGATGCTGACCGCGGAGGCGGTAAGGCATAAGTCCGAAACACCCGGATTAGTCTAATTCCGAAAGACAGTACCGGATTTGCTGTTGGTCAAATTGAGTACTTCTTACACTTGGATGCATCAATAAGCCTCAGCTGACGCGGCCACTTGCCTACTGGGTGCCACCAGTCGACCCTAAACTCGACGACCCACACTTGAATGTACTAAGAAGATCTTATAGCCTCGAAGTTCTTGGGTACATACCAATTAGAAAACCAATCGTAAGGTCCAACCAGTGGCACTGGGATGACTTTTCCGCGCATTCCAAACCCATCGCAATGCAGGTATGCTGCGATCCGTAGGTATGTAAGTGTTTCAGCAACACAGATAAGACACCGAGCCCGAAGCCTGCCATGCATTACAGATAAGATTGAATGCTTCGGAAGTCTACATATGGAGAGTGAGAATTTGCTGCGGTTTTCCCGCCTCTGCTTCTTACCTGCCACTCATCATGCGAAGGCCGTCGCGCTTTCAACTCTGCATTTGTTTATTATTTCTCATTATATTGATACCCTTGAAAAGCCACCTCACGGATCTTTGCGACCAGTATCGTGCACAAGAGTACATAGTTGATTGGTTCAGTCTTGAGCGGACCAGCCAAGTGACAATATCTTCTCCAGGTCAGACTGGCGACAAGGTGATCGTGGCTGCGAAGCTACAGGAGGAGCAGACAGAATGGATTGAGCAAGAACTACCCGAGTAGGCAGCTTAACATTTCCCAACAGCTGCAAATTGTTCACTAATCATATGAAGCTGGCAACGAGCTATCTACATCGTCAACCCATCACGAGAAGTTGCAGATGATGCCCGACAACTTATAACACCCCTTAACAAGGGCCATGAATCCATGGCTTACCTAACATACCTTATTGATCACTATGATAGACTCCCTTCCACCATTGCATTTATCCATTCGCATCGCTCGGGCTTTCTTCGAGCTTGGCATGTCGATGCACCTCTGCATGATAATGTATGGTCTATGAAAGCCCTGCAGCTGAACTTTGTTAAGCAGAATGGCTATGTCAATCTACGATGTAATTTGAACCCAGGGTGCAAGGCCATATACCATCACGTAACACGTGATGTCTTCACGGAAATATTTGAAGGCACCAGCACACCCCCACTGAACGGGACTGATCTTGCGCTTGGAAGTGACAAACGCGCCATGCAAATCCCTGACACGGTTGGGGCAGCATGTTGTGCGCAGTTTGCAGTATCTCGAGAGCAGGTGCTTCAGCGCCCACGCGAAGACTATATCAAGATACGGCAGTGGATTATCCACACGCCGCTGGATGATGCTCACAGTGGGAGGGTTATGGAATATCTTTGGCATATCATCTTCGGCAAAGAAGCTGTCTAGTAAGTTAGATTTCTGCTGACAGTAGAGCAATGCTGACCCCGGCTTAGTTGCCCAGATGAAGAAGTCTGTTACTGCCAGGTGTATGGGCTATGTTGAATGATGACGTGCTAAGCATTCTGTGTAACAAGCGTGTTGTAAATATGTTACATTAATCTCTTGCTGTTGCCATTCTCTCGTTGTACTCATCAATATCAATAGTGAATTATTTGACGCAAAGCACTAAGCAGACAATCAAAATATAACAACTAGACACGGCCCCAAACACCCATGGCAATCATCCTGACACCCCACGCGATCAGGATAGTTAATTTACCCTCTATTAGCCTAATACCCTTGTATTTCCTACTCTATACCTCCTCCCTCCTGTTATCTTATCCATGCACGGCTGCCTAGCATCACCACCACCACCTGCAAGCCATACAGCCCATTACTTCCCAAAAGATTCGGAAGTTCGGACGCCCGAACTAATCACACCTCCAAAATTAGTACCATAGCCACCCATCTCTTTCTCCTCTCTATGCACGATTTTTCCCTGGAAATTGACCGAATGAATCAGACGCCTCGGGAATCCCCCATCACACCCTTCAAGAAATGTACCCTGTACACTAGGATGGGTCCTGAACTATCCCACGTGCCACATCCAGACACTCCCATTGCACAGAAAATCGTAGTTTGAATAGAATTTCTCTGGGACCGGACCCACAGCACAAACTGAGTTATCTACTCGGCAAGATCTGCGGGTGGGTCTCAACTACGCCCGTCCCTGAGTTGAGGTGCTCTCAAGACAGATTGCCGAGTTGGTCAGCATTCGCTTGTACTTTGACTTGTTGTGAAGCATTGGCCTGATTGATTTGGTGGATTTAGGCGATAGGATGTATGCTCGTGTTCTTCTTGTGTTGGTAGTTGCCTCCCATTCTAGCTGTATCCACTTTAATTCTGGCACTGCGTTATCGTTCACCCGCTGTATTGACAAGGCCAAAGTACATACAAAAATAGAACCAATCTTCCAGATGGGAAATACATAGTTGAATCGAATTCAACCACTCTAGCTACTTGCTAAGCACCTCCCATAACTCCCCGCGAGGCACGCATAGCGCCGAGCTCTAAATCCTGATACCCATCTCTACCACCTTCCATATTCCTCCTCCCACTTCCAGTACATACCCCATCTCCAAAACCCGCCCCGAATGCCCCAACCCTCTGTCTAGGCCCCCAAGCCCATCCACCATACCCCTGTCCCGCAGGAGCATGATACCACATGAATCCCAAGATAGCAAACACAATCCCAATCAAACTCCCTCCCAGTATATCCCACCCAGCGTGCATGTAATCCATATACCTTGACGCACAGATATAGAGCGCACCACCAACAGGAACTGCAATGAGTACAAGGAGATACAACGGCGGAGCAGCCACCGCTGACGCCCTGCTGAATGACGACCCCGTCTTCTTATGGCCACCTCCAGCACTAAAAGACATAGAGCGGACAGGAACAGACACCGCGAACTTAGCGCCCAGCCACAGAGACAGATACAGCAACCCCGCCCAAGCGAAAGAAGAATGCCCAGACGGGAAAGCAGCAAACCCAGCTTTGATAACAGTCGCATCGGGGTTCTTGCAAATAGCTGATGTTACCATAATCGGTGACTCTGTACGCTGGAGACCCAGTCCACCAACAGCGTAGGTAGTGAGGTTGGCTAGATCGGGCTGGCAGCGGGCGAGAAGGTCCGGTCGTGGTTTACCCACTACGTCTTTCAGACCGGAGGTGAGGAAGAATGCACCCGCGAGACTCAGGGCTAGGCCTAGCCAGCCGGCGTGCCATTCCCAGAGACGACGGGGCCAGGGGAGGGGGGTGAGGAGGCAGATTGCTGCGATGAGGACGGCGGGGACGACGCAGCTGACTATTCCAACGGTCGTGATGGAGACGGTGTCGGATTTGAGGGGGTAGGAGATGTTTGCGTCGTCGAGGGAGAAGACGTGTTCGGAGCCGGTGATTTTGTAGAGGATTCCACCTGTGATTACGAGGATACTGATGTTGTGAGATGGTTTAGTACTGTATTTTTGATGAATGAGGGGAATGTGTGAGGATTATCGAACATGATGAATGCCCAATCCAGCACGTAAGAGGCTATCACATTCTTTGAAGTTCGTCTGGGTTGAGTGGACAGCATGTCGAAGTCTGCATCAGCTTGTGGTGTCGATGCCATGGTGGTGAGTTTAGAAGAGTATGGACACGCGGTAGAGAGTGATTCCCAGTGATTCTTTATTGCTGCATGTGCCGTGGGAACTTTACTTATAACAGTGGGTCATGCCCGGCCGCAGATGTCAAAGAAGCCTATCCATTGTCAGTCCCTTAAATTAGCACGGGATTGTTGGACCCGTTTTTACGATCCAAAGTCTGGATGCCCTGGCGGACGCCATAAATAGCCGAGTGGTACAGCCTAGTCCCGACCATAAGAGGCATGATTGTCGTTTTAAACCGTGCAAGCCTTGAGCTAAGCATTGTCAAAGTATACATCTTAAAGCTTCTGCCTAACGTGGCTGGGGGCTATGTAACACAAAATTGTAGGAGAGTTCGTAAAATAAGCTCCGGAAGCGAGTCTTAGCGGAACTTTCTGTCACACGCATTCTATTGTTCGGAGAGCCATGGATATGAGGAATCTTAGAGAAAAGCAGGATGAGATAATGAGAAGAGGGGGATGCATCTTGTTGTAATCAAATAGTAGTCAGTGCCCAGAATCTTTAAAAATGTTTATCTCAGCCAGCTCCATAATCTCCAGCACGAACCTCCCAGCCTCTTCCGTTATATCCTACACAGCAAAATACTCACAAACATATATAGTTTTCTAGCTTCGACTCCTGGGCCCCTCTTCTGCAATTTATAACGCCATCGGTCCCCTCGATCCAATATATTTACAGGGATGCCCTTCCACCCCAACCAGCATCAACGACAGCACAACAACCCTAAAACCACGACCATCTCCAACCTGCCGATATCATGCACAATGATAAGAAAACACTTTCAAGAGGACTATTCAAAAAAATCTACGCTGAGGACGAGAGTGTCGATGCACGGGTCTCGAAGTCAATCGGAGTTTTCGTAGGGGAGAAGGTCATAGAGACTTGCTAGTAGTGTGCCTGCGGCTGCGAGGCGCGAGATGAGGTTGCGCTAGATCAAGGAGAGAAGAAGAGTGTCTGGTGACTCGTAAGTAATTCACATAGCCCGCTGTTATTTGTTCTATTTTCTGCCCCCACCCTACATGTCATCGTACAGGGTCTACCCTCTGCCGTTGTCACGTATGGTCTTCGGTAGCGAGGAGCAGTGAGTACGAAGCTGCAGGAAGATCATGATGCTTTGCAGGGTTTCCATCTATATTCTCTATGTAGAGTGGGAGGTTAGAAATAGACGAGGTCTACTTCACTTTCGACTGACTGAAACATAAGCTGACGGGTGATTAACGACATAAACCAAGGCATGTATGTACGCACTCGATCCATATTTATTTGCATCGGACTAAACTGCTAACAAAGAATTGGCATAATATTAAGCCAATAATATCCACAGGTATAAACAAAACAGGCTGACATCTCACTCTCAAGAGAGGAAAAGCAACTCCCAAACACCTCTGCCAAGGCCTGGATCATAAAGGCCACCCAGAACAGAAAATCAAAAGGTATCATAGATTAAGAATCACGAACGCGCGCTTGCCGTTTGGCGGTCCCAATATGCGTGTTATGTACCTTGGTCGCAAACTTGAGACTGGTCAACGTTTCAGCCAGATGTGCCTGCAGCGGGCTGACCATGACAAACATGAGGGTCTTGGAGTTACCTCCCAATGAAAATTGGAGGAGATACGTAAGCTGCATACAAGTCAGTCACTTCTCTACTGAATAATTGAGTCAAATATACGAACCTTGCTGTTCCTGTATGGGATGTGTCCGCCCTCTTTGCCCTGTCCAAGGGCAGCGATAACGTCTCCCAGACAGCTCAAGCTGCGGTTAATGTTTTGCGTCTCTTTCAAGCGTTCACCAGTCGCACCACTGTGGCTCAGACGTTCACTACCGGCCAAGTCAACCAAGTTGAGTGTTCCTTCGCTGCGTTCACCAGTAATGTCATTCTCACCGATCAGTTTGAGAATGAAGACTGAGTGAGACCGGGAGGATCGCTCGTTGGCCTTGGTAGCTGCAACAGAGCGGTTCGAAGCGGCCCGCTTTAGGATTGTCTCGACCATCTCAGGAGACTCCAATCGGACAGTAGTGACATCCGTGATGATCGTCTTCCCTCTTTGCATGTCATGGCGGATATCCAGCTTCTTCTTGTCCAGTTCTTCAGGGTTACCAAGAAGGTCATTCAGATTCTCGTTGTACACCTCAACGAAGTTACCCTCCATAGTGTACCGCCAGCCCTTCTCTTCCAGGCCAGTAGCTGTCTCATAGATCTGGTGCACTGCACGAGGAATCATACCGTCGAGTGAAGACATCGTGTACGTCTTTCCACTACCAGTCTGACCGTAACAGAAAATGCACACGTTGTATCCGTCCAGGGCGCTTTGGACAAGTTGGCTGATCTCATCGAAAACCTCGGCATTCTGCGTTGACGGTCCGAAAACACGATCGAACGAAAAGTTGCTGTTCTTTCTTGTGATTGTACCGAGGCTGCTCTTCTCTTCTGGACCCAGCACGGCAATCTCTTTGCTGTCCTCTGTCTCATCGGGATACTGAATCTGAGCCGAGCCAGTGGGAGGATCGGAAGGCAGCGATGGACGAACTCGACAAAACACGCGAATATTGCCTTTTAGTTCTTGCACCTGATTGTGAAGTTTCCTTCTCAGGGTCTCCTCCTTCCGCAGCTTGTCTTTCGTAGCGTTGGTCTCGGCCAGCGCATCCATCATCTGCTGGTTCAAGCGCTCAAAGGCCTGGGATTGCTCCTCTCGTCCAGATTCGAGGAATTCAATCCTTGCCTTGAGTGCGCGGACAGAAGACTCCATTGTCACGCTATTGCTACTGGCTGTGTCCAGGTTCTGGCGAAGATCCCGGTTGCTCTTGCGCTCACGTTCAAGTTCCGCCCGCAGAGCTTGCATGTCATTATGAAGCGTCGTGATTTCTCGCTCTTTCCTCTCAAGCTCCATATTTGTCTTTTGCGTGTCAATGGCTGTCTGTGAGGTCATCTGACTGATTTCCCGAAGCCGAGCAGCTCTTTCGTCTTCCATTTCATGATCGAATCGTCGCTTTAGTTCACGGATCTCCTCTTGATGTTGCGAGGCCAATGATTCCAACTCCCTTTTCGCATCGAACCGCGCGGACTCCAGTTCTCTGCGCTGACGAGAGCCAATTTCGTCAATTTCCATCTCATGCTCTCTCTGCGCATCCTTCAGGGCATCCTCCGATGCTCCTAGTCGGACCTTGAGTGATTCCATCTCAACGCGAAGGCTCAAATTCATGTCGGTGATCTCCTTTCGAGAAGCCTCCAGCTCGCTGACTGTAAAATCCTCAGCTCAATGATGTCCAGCGTGCTTGTCGACAGGTTGCTTACCTCTAGATTTATACAGCTCGAGGGCTTCCTTCATGCCGGTACTCTCCTGTCCAGCTTGGCTCATCTTTGTCACGAAAGTGTTCATGAGATCCTCCATTGTCTTTTCGCGGCTTTCTTGATCCCACTCGGCACCTGTAGAAGAGTTAAATGTCTCAATCGTTGAATCTTTGGTAAGAAATTGCGGCAAAGGGGGTGGTTTCTTCCTAGCAGAGTGCTTTTTAGGAGACAAAATCTTATTCGGCGCAGCCTTGACTGGGGTAGTCGCGGGCGTATTCGTCGAAGATAATGATCCAGTTGGCGCACCATGTGAAGGCAAAGGGGCAAAATCCAATGTGTCATTGGGGGAGGGCTGCAGGTCCAACTCTTTCAGGGAAGTGCACAATAAAGTCTCAGGACTGGTATTGGGCCACTTCCGCAAAGCACGACTGCTTGACGTATCGCATGGGGCGCAAAAATATGCAGCAGAACGAACAAAGCACAAGGTGGGCCTACCCTTTCGTTTACCAAGTACAGTAGCGGCGGAGTCTTCCTCATCATGCGTATCCAACGATGTCGCGGGGCGAGGGATGCCGTGGCCGTTCGGTCTTCGGGAGCTGGCAACGGAGTGTGAGCGAGACATGCTGGTGTGTGGTCGAGCGGGGGGGAGCCCGGAAATGGTTCCTTTCGATCGCGCGGATGTGGTGGCTGATCTGGTCAAGGTGGATGATGAGTGCGAATTAGCGCGAGTGTGGACTCTAGTGGTGCTGTTGACGCGCGACGATGCTGCTCCGGCTCCGGCTCTGCCAACCTCGGGTGCTTGCGTAGTACTTCTGGGACGAGATGGTTCTGTGACTGTCAGCTTCTGTTCGCTGCTCCGCTTCCACAGCTCCTGACACATACGCGACAGGCTCGTAGTCTTGCTGGTTACGGCGCCCGCAATGGTACCGGGTTGCAAAAGACCGGAGCGGGCATTTGTCGAGGCCGGATTCATCTCTCTTAGACCAGTGGGGATTCGTGAACGGGCGGACGATCTGGACTGTATCTGCCACTTTGTATCAGCACTCATCACCCGTCAAGTGCGATTGAAGGAATTCACCATATGGTCGTTCTCCATAGCTTCCACAGGCGGGCCAACTCGACCCCTGACAACTCGAGAATTTTGTGCGTCAAGGGAAGTACAATGGAAAGAAAAGCGCGTTTTATTGAATCAGAAAAGCAAAGACAATCAAATCCAAATCAGGCTGCTACCTGTTAGGGGCAGGACTGCATCGCAAGTCGAGACGTCAGCGGGTCGTTCGGTGCAGGTCGAGGCAGCGCAGGTGAGTTAGTTTATCACGACGGTTCGATTGCCGGGCAGCTTTGGTGGGCGTTTCTGGAGTGACGGCGGGCGGTAAACAAACTTGGCTGACTCAGCCGGGCCCGGCGGGGTGCGCCATTGCCCAATCGGGCTAGAGGTAATGTCGGTCATGAATACAACAATACCGTTCTTGATTTACTTGGTTTGTGACGAAATTGCACTGATAGATTAGGAGTAGAATATCGCTCGAGTAGACCGAGTTGTTTTTTTCAATTGTGACATTGCGCTTGCAGCATCTCCATTATCACTTCTGGCACTCTATATTTTGCCAGTGTCCCTTATCTTCCACTCCTCCTGCTAAGCCACACTTGTTCATCTCTGGCCCGCACGCGGGTGTGTCCACTTCCCACTTCCACTTCTCTCTCCCTGACTGGCTCCGTAACGGCGGCTGCTTTCAGACCGACAAGCTTTCCCCGTCCCCCCCAATTCAAGGTCATTGAGACCCTTTTATCTCTCCCAATTGCCTCCATTTCTTTCATTGTTATTTGTTTCTGTGCCATTTCTTTCCCCCTGTGACCCTCTCGACCACAAGCATCATGTCTGGTCGATTCGTGCGTTCCTCGAAATACCGTGAGCTCCCTCTTTCCCCTCCCCACAGGCTGCCCGCAATCTGACAGGTGGTAGGACACGTCTTCGGACGGCCGACGAGAAAGGTGCGCTACAAGCCCCTTGGACCCTTCACAGACTCGACATAATCTCACAGTCGTCGCAGGAGCAATGCTATGATAACCTTCGCGTTTCCAAGAATGCCTGGGATACCAACCTCGTCAAGGTTCGTCCGTTGTTGCCGCCGCCCCTAATCCACCACTTAGCAGGTCCGTCTGACGCTACAACTAGGCCAACCCCAAATACCTCTCCGTGAACTGGGAAGCTGGTGGTGGAGGTGCATTTGCGGTCATTCCTCTGGAGGAGCGCGGGAAGCTGCCCGAGAGGATACCTCTTTTCCGGGGTCACACTGCCGTGGTCCTCGATACCGACTGGTGAGCAGTGGCTGTTGTGAACACCCTATCGTAGCACACGACCAACAGAACTAGGAACCCTTTCAACGATGATCTGATAGCATCTGGATCTGATGACGGCAAGGTATGATCCCTCAGAAAATTTCCATGCCACCGCAGCTGCTTTGTTCATTGGTACTGATTGGTCGCATAATAGGTCTTCCTTTGGCGTGTGCCGGAGAACTTCACCCTGCGCCCTGATCTTGACCCCGATGAGATCCAAGATGTGGCACCTGTTGGCAAGCTTTCCGGTCACCCGAAGTGAGTGAAACTGATATATTACTCGAATACCTTGTGCTTTGCGAACACAGTCTAACGCCCCCTCAGAAAGATAGGTCACGTTCTTTTCAACCCCGCCGCTGAAAACATCCTGGCAACGGCCTCCGGCGATTACACGGTCAAGATCTGGGATATCGAAGCGGGCGCCCCCAAGCTGACCCTGAACCTGGGCGACATTGTGCAATCACAGTCGTGGAGCGCCAACGGCTCCCTTCTGGTTACGACCTCGCGAGACAAGAAGCTGCGCATCTGGGATGTGCGTCAGGAACGCCCCGCGCATGAGACACAAGGACACTCTGGTGCCAAGAACAGTCGCTCAGTCTGGCTTGGTGAGCACGACAGGATCGCAACCACCGGTTTCTCGAAGATGAGTGACCGCCAATTGGCTCTGTGGGATATCCGCGCTCCCCGGGAGCCCATCAACGGATTCAAGACCCTTGACTCGATCTCCGGTGTATGCATGCCTTTCTGGGACGAGGGCACTCAGTGTCTGTACCTTGCTGGAAGAGGGTATGTCTAGAGAGATAACCATGTATTGGCCGTGGCTGACAATGTATAGTGACGGTAACATCCGCTACTTCGAACTCGAGAACGACAAGTTCGAATACCTTGCCGAATACAAGTCCGCTGATCCCCAGCGTGGTATCGCTTTCATGCCCAAGCGTGGAGTCAACACTCACGACAACGAAGTCGCTCGTGCCTTCAAGACCGTTAACGATGGCTACATTGAACCTATTTCTTTCATCGTGCCCCGCCGTGCGGAGACTTTCCAGGACGATATCTACCCCCCTACAACTGGTCTGAAGCCTGCTATGGGCCCCTCTGAGTGGCTTGCGGGCAAGGAGGCCATCCCACCTAAGATTTCTATGGCCAACCTTTACGAGGGTGAGGGTCTGAAGGAGGTCACCGGAGTGCAGGACGCCCCCACTTCCACCATGGGCACCTCTGAACCCGAGGCGGCCCCGGCTCCCAAGGCCGCCGAGCCCAGTCCCGTGAAGAAGGCACCCGAACCCGCCCCCGAGCCGACCCCGGTGGCCAAGCCCGCCCCGTCCATGAAGGAGCAGGGTGCCTCAATGGCCGCCATGGTCTCCAAGTTTGCCGACGATGAGGAGGCCGAGACCGTGGAGGAGGATTCGAGCTTTGAGGAGGTGCAGAAGCCCGTGGAGCGCCCTGCACGCTCTCCCGAAGCCTCATCTCCTTCCATCAAGGCCAGCCCATGGCACCAGAAGGAAGAGGAGGTCAAGACCCAGGCAGCAAGCCCTGCTAAGGTACGCAATCCCTATCCCCTAGCAAAACCCATTCCCCAACTAACAACCCTGCAGTCTTCCCCCGTCATCACGCCCGTTGCCGCGCCCGCCGACATCTCCACTGGCGCTGCCGTCGCAGCAGATGCCGTCCAGCGCGAGATCGGAGCGATCAAGGACCTGATCGCCGAGCAGACAAAGACGATCGCCTCCCAAGCGCAGCAGATGCAGAGCCTGACTGCAGAGATCGAGTCCCTCAAGGCTAAGCTGGGCTAAGCCTTTGATATTAGTTTCCAGAAACTTTGGATCCTTTAATGTACTGTATTGAATTTCCTTGGTCGTTTGTGTTGTGCTGTCTACCATTATTATCCTTAACAACACACCCCTTAACACCCTATTATCGCTCCCAAAAGCCCTGTCCCTCTTTCTGCCCTTCTATGTCCATAGCCCGTCATCGTTGTGTGTTATTATATTCTTGATGACCTGCAGCATGATCGCAATGTCAATGTCAATACGAATACCAGTGTCTCTCTCTTTCTCTCTCTTTTCTATGATGATTATGTTGTTGTCCATTCAGCGGTGGCAAGATTACTCGAGATTGAGGCGAAATTGGATAGAATGGAGGTTTTCTAAAGGCAGGTTGGTTAGTGTGGGTAGTTACTAGTAGTTAGTTGTAGACAAGAAATATACCACCACTGTCTGTCCGCTTCATGAGTATTCTGTTACAGCCCACCACCACTACTACTACTACTATACTAGTATTACTAACTCGTAGAGAAGAAACAGATCAGGTTAAAAGTTCAAATATCTCACATTCTCCAGGCCTTCATTCCAGCAACAAACTACTAGGGAGTAGTAAATAAAAATAGTATGTGAATCTTATCTACAACGCCATCCATATGAAATAGCTGCAAGCTGGGCGCCTGCAAGCACCATCTCTCTCAAATATACTAGATAGTAATATGAAATCAATCCACCGGCAACGACCACGAATGCACGCCATGCAATTTCTGGGACCCTTTTTTCTTTCTGTTCCCTCTTGGTTGAGAATTTGTGACATGAGAATGTAAGAAGTGTTGGATGATGAGCGCTTGGATTAATATGGAGAGTAATTTTTCTTGGTGTTAGATTAGGAGGATATCCCGTGAGAATCTCTCTTTTCTATGCTTCTTTGGGTGATAGAGGTAGGGAGGATATGGGTACTTGTATGGAAGTACCTTGGGAGTGAGCGAGTCAGTGGTGTTAGGGGGGGTTGGGATATAGAGGTGTTGTGTTGTGCATGTGTGAGTAGTAGAAGGAAGGTGAACTGAACGGTCGTGGGAAATATATGAGAAGTAGGAGAGCGATTACTTCCATCGACCTGCTTCACGCTCCTTCTCGACGCGCGCAGCTCGAGCGTCATCATTCTCTTCGTCCTCGTACTTGTAACTAAAGCGACGCCCACCTGTCATGGCGCGGCTGTCTCGCTTGCGAGAAGACTTTCCAGCATCACGGTCTGCATGCATGGCCTCACGACGTTGCTGTTCCTTCAGCATGCGCTCGCGGTTCCTGGCCTCTCGTTCCAGAGTATGGGGGTCTTTCTCTGGCTCTGCTGCTGCTGCTGCTGCTGCTGCAGCTGAAGGTTTGTCTTCATCACGGTCCCGCCTGGCGCGGCGGGACTGGCGGGAGTATTCGCTGTTGACGGGGGATTCAGAACGGTCGCGGCGAGAGCGTTTACGGTCTCTGTCACGCTCCCTGTCGCGTTCTCGATGGCGGTCCCGGTCACGATCACGATCACGATCACGATCACGATCACGGTCGCGCTCTCTCTCCCTATCTCTGTCGCGGTCGCGATCTCTTTCACGCTCTCGATAACGATCGCGATCGCGATCCCGATCCCGACGGCGGGAGTCTCTATCTCGGTCTCGATCTCGATCTCTATCGCGGTCCTCGTCGCGACGGCTTGAGCGGTCCTTACCAGACCGGTAACTGCGGTCTACCGCATCACTGAGCTTGTTTCTGGAATCCTTGTCTTCGACCTTGGAAGAGAGATGATCGGGTCTGGCGGCGTCGCCGTTGCGACTCGGGCTGCGGCTCCAGCTACGGTGACGATGCGAACGATGCGACCGGCGACCGCTGCGTCTATCCCGCTCTCTGTCATGACGGTGAGTGGACCTTCTGGATTCTAGAGACGGGGAGCGGATACGAGGACCATCTTCTGCAGTGGATGGCTCTTCGTACTTGTCCTCCCGACGAGGCCTTCTTGGCCGATCTCGTCTACGCTCGGATTCTTCTGTACCACGGTTGACACTCGGAGAACGTTCACGATACCGGCGACGACTATCAGCACGAGATGGAGGAGATCGGGACCTGGATCTTGATGCCGATCTAGCTCTCGACTTCGATCTTGGCACGGACTGTGGGCGCTGGTCCTCTTGTCCTGGGGTTGGGGTTACACTGAGAACGAATCATCAATATTGGTCGGGCTTGCAATAGGTTGCATGTGGAGCATTATTCTTACCTTTGTGAGGCTTCGGGCCTCATGGGAGTCGCTGAGGAACGTCCATGAAAGTTCCGCTGCCGGAGAACGCTGGTGTTGGGAAGACCTTCTCGCATGGCTCGGGGAGCTGCCGGTGCACCTTCAACACCCTGTCCACGAGGCTCGGGGTACATATTAGAGCCTGTCATAAACGGAGGACCGTTAAAGCCACCAGGACGTGCGCCTGGGAAGGGACCGCGCATATAGCCACCTCTGCCAAAGCCAGGTCCCATAGGGCCAGACATGCCCATAGGGCCACCTGACATGCCTTGTGCGGCGTGGACTTGGTCTAGACTATCAATTGTCGGTATCCCACGCAGCTGATTCTCCTCCTGGCCTGGAAGCTCTTGTGTGGAGTCTCTATTGATGTTGGGATCAGAGTCCCCGTTCTCACCCATGTTTTCGGCGGCAGCGGCAGCATCTCCCGCCGAAGCATCTTGAGCAGAAGTCACATCGCCACTTAGGGCATTCTCGCCGGCACCTTCCTTATTGGCTTCAGTACTGACCTCCCCGGACATGTCCCCAGATACGCCATCCTGACCATCACTAAGGGGATTATGGTTTGGGAAGTCTGGATAGTTAGCATTAGCAGGATGATTGGGTTGCATATGCCCTCCAAAACCACCGCGACCACCGGCAAATCCGCCGCGGCCACGGCCACGGAACGCGCCTCTGCCATGACCGGCATAAGAGCCATTTGGATAATCTTGGCTAGGAAACTGCTGCGGCTGCATTTGAGCATGAACTCCGTTGGGTTGAGACATATTATAACCGCCAAATCCAGAGGGGCCCCCAAACTGCGGACCCATACCATTTGCGAAAGCATTTGGATTGAATTTATCTTGGCCTCCATTCCACATATTGTTCTGTGAGCCGTCCCATCCCCCATACATCCCCTGACCCGCGTCGAAACTCATTCCCATGTTCATGCCATTCATGTTCATCCCGTAGCCTCCAAACATACCCTGATTCGCGGCCATCGGGTCCATCGCCATGCCAGGCATTCCTAGTGCGCACGTCAGTTCATCAATCCAATGTCGCCTCGGGGCAGGAGATGACGAGCAGAAACTCACCCATAGCGTTAGGGAAGTTGAACATTCCATTGTTCATAAATTGGGCCATAGGGTTGAAACCACCGTTGTTATTCCAAGCCATATTAGGGAACATCCCGGCACCCATGCCGAAGCCCATACCATTTGGGAGCATGCTCCCCGCCAGACCTTGGGACGCTTCGTCATCGTTGACTTGGTCGGTCTTGGCTTCATCGGCTTCGTTGCCTTCACCAGATCCGTCGTGTTCCGCATCCCCAGCGTCGTTCTGCGTGTCAGCAGGGACACTTGTAGACTGGTCATCCTGCGCGAGTGGAAGATTAGCCTAGATGTAGGCGATTGATGTTGGGTGACATACTTGGGCCTGCGCCTCTGTAGGTGCTTCGTCGCCCACACCTGGTGTGTTCTGCACATTTAGGTCTCCGGCATCCGCGGGTTTGGCTGTTTCTACCGGCGGAGCATCGACAGATACATTAGGTGCAGGGATTTCTTCAGGGGCTGGAACTTCGGCGGCGCTCGGCACCGCAGGTGTCTCCAGTTGAGCAGGAGTGCCGTCCGCGGTTGTTGCACCATTGGTGGTTGCGGGCGTCGCAGGGGTTGCTGACTGCCGCTCCTTCTCACGCTTTTTCTCTTCTGTACGCAGAAAGGCCTTCAATGTGGTGCGGAGCGCTTTGTTCGGCTTGCATAGATCGGGCGAGATGGGAGTATGCGCGCATACGGGGCAAGTCTCCGGGAGAGAAGCCTGGCCTATCGGGACATTGATTAGAATGGAACGGAAGTATAACACGGAGTCGTCAACGAATGCGTACAATGTTCGCAGATCGCTTGGTCGCAGCAAGGTAAGCGGAAGGCGTTCACGGCAAGCTTATTGCACATGGCGCATCGCAGCTTGAACGGGATCTCATCTTGGGTGAGAGAGCTGTATTGAACGGCGAATTAGTTCTCGGGCCAAAGACATGTATGGCCGAAGAGCGCAAGGCTGGAATATGACCTACCTGGCGATGTCCATCAAGCCCGAAGGCTGATCTGCGACAGCCATCGGGGATGACGAGGCTAGACCGGAGGGAAAGGAAAGTCCAGAAGAAAGGTGTCAATGTGCAGAAAAGGGAATAGTAGGCAGCCACACTGGCAAAGACAAAGAACGCGATCTAATTCGCCATCAATAGGAGGTGGCAGCCATTCCTGCTGGCGTCGCTCGGAAATGCAAAGCCCGTGAATCGACAATCGGGGTGAATGTCGCGATGGACAATCTGTGCCTGTTTGACCAAATTTGGAGGCCGGAGGCGGGCCGGAGCGGAACAACCGCCTATCCGAGGCTTTCCGGCGCATCGCCCCGCCCTTCTGCTCCTCTTCTCCAGCGCCTGCGTTCGGTTGTTTCCTGACTGGAGGGTGACATCGATCATCTAGCTGGTTTTGCTGCTTGGTTGTCCGTTCCGTTACGCTGAAGTTGTTGGTGGATACTCCTGGCGCTTAGAAGGATTGGGGATGACTATGAGATCCTTCTCTACGGAACAACTTGCTCACCATACCAACTACGGAAGTCCAGCCTCATCATCGTCCAGAACGTGCGGTTTCAAATAAGACTTTGTCATTTGCAGACCACTAAATCACTAAGGTTTGGGACCAGTCATAGGGATATTCAAGGCGGCACGGCACACCGCCAACTGCGGCGAACTGGACCCCTGGTTGTCATCCATCATCCATCCCTGCGGCGCGCCACGAACTCAAGGCAGACGAGTTACCTTGCGACTACATTGTAGGATAGGATTCCAGATTCCAACCTGGGTTACGGAAGGGCCAGCGCTAGACCGACTCTGGGAAAGAATGCATTCTCTAGCTCTATCTCTAAATTACCTACTAGGTAACTGTCAGAGAGAGGCAGATCTGCCTCTCATCTCCGACGGGCAAATCAAATGGACGCAAAGTACCGCCCAAGGGAAACCAGCGACGCGCTGTCAGATTAGATCAAGTTATTTACTCCCTCATCGAAGGGGTACTGCCATCAGATAGCAACAGCACAGAGAGATCCGACGGCGGCGATACCTTTAGTGGGTCTCTGCGCGCCAAATCGTCCTTCTCCCCCGATCTCTGGAGCTCTGTTTATCATCATCACGCGTCTTGGTGGGGGATATCAAGCAGAGGGATAGATA